GATTAGACTTGGAAGAAATGCAGATGTAGCTAGATCAGTATTATTAATTACATTTAAGTTTACAAAAAATGTTATCTTCCATGTTAAGGGTCACTTTAAAAAGTACCCAGTGCCATGAAGTACGTATTTCAACTAATTTATTGCACCACTTGCATTCTGGGGCAAGTATTTTCTGAGTTTTCATGGAGCCCACAAGTAAACAGCTCCTAAACAGTAACTATATCAACTAGAGTTACATCATTACCAATTCTCTTATTCCCAGGACATCATGCCCAAAAAATCAAACTTGCAGAAAGAATGAGGAAAATATGTGGGAAATACATGGGAAAAATCACTACCTTTCTACCTTAGGTCTGCATAAACCCTTTCACCTTCCCTGCAAAATATCTGTGGGAGATGTTTGCCAAGTGAACAAAAAAATCCAGCAAAACCCCCCAACAGTAGAATTTCTCTGCATATCTAATCAGATACAAGTGCCACAGAGCCCATTAACCTGTTCCTGCCAATGACCTACACCACGTGTCTAGGGAAAAACCTAAGAACAGGACAATTGCATGGTAGTCCCTCTCCCAAAACACTCTTGGGGCCCTCAGTTACTTGTGATGCACTGACACCCTGAGCCAGGTGTCAGTGCATTTAACAGCCATCATGGATTTCTCTTTATAAATAGATTTATCTAAGTAAATAGGAAGAGGGTGTGTGTCCATTCTCTGAGGATCCTCTGCGTTAACTAATTAGCACTACTTATTGGTAGTTAGGGTGAGTATCAGATTTTTAACAAAGGCACAGCAGGAGATAGTTAGGTTGATGCATGTGTGAGGAGGAAAAAGGAGGAAGTGCACCAAAGTGCCCACCATTAAACTTCTCAGCTGGCATGGGGCTGAGGCCTGCATTTTACATTCCTGCAGAAGCCAAAGGAGAATCTGGGCAAGACACACAGGTAATTTTTTCCATTGTAATTATGTGTCAAATACATTGAGGCTGGATCTCTATTTTCCCTGCAAGTAGGTTGGAGTGAACCTCTAAAGACAGCATGCCTGGAGGTAGTCATGAATTTTCTATAGAAATAGTTTAAACAGAGAAGTCAGATTTATGGAGCTTAAGATGTGTTATTTGAAGTGTCCTTGGGGGCAGGTGGAGGCTGATAAAAGCCCTGCTGGCTGCTGTTCCCTCCTAAGAGGGATGTGAGGCTCTAAGTGAGCTGCTGAGGTGTCCTGTACCCAAAGAGAAGGGGGTCTGAGGAGCGAGACGGATAGTGAGGCCAGCACACTGAGCAGAGAGCTGCCTAGGTTATGCAACATGCTATCAAAATGTTCAGTCCATTAATTGTAAGATAGAAGGAGGTGCCTGTTTTACCTTGGACTTTTCAGAAGAGAAATACCTCCTGGAGCTATGGCTGACCTGATTTGGGTGCCTTTCTGCCAAGAAACAGAACAACACAGTTAAATGTAGCTCCTACTCTGTTTACTTCAGACAAGCTTTGAGTTCCCTGGAATATCTGGGGTGAGTGTTCTCATTAAGATCAAATATTTGGTTATTCTCATGTGTTTTTTTCTCAAGCTTTCTAGTTGAAGTTACTTAATTTTGCATGAATAATGAGTGCTTTTATTTGGACATGATAAGAGGCAAGGAATAGAGATTGCACTGAACAATTGTGTTGTAAACACAAAACCAAAACATGCAGTTTTAGGGGGTGTTGAATTATTAATTCCTGGTTAAGACTAAAGCAATATCATTACTACAGTATCAAAGACTGGTAATCTTCATTTAGAGCTGCAGGTGCAGCTGGTGCCATGGTTATTTCATTGAAGTAGGTTCAAAGACAGGAAAACCTGGAGAAAACTGCTAACATTAGGAGACAAACATAAATTAAATAGAAAATGAAATTAAACTCATTTGGCCTGGAATTTAGAAGGATACTAATGAACTGAAAAGTGGGAGCATGCTTCCTGCACAGTTAATGAAGTGATGCAGAAGCAGCAATGAAATACACTAGATGGAAGCACCAGTGCATCAGAGATCAGGAGAATACAAGTGTTGGATCTAGGCAGTGGTAGAGCCCAGACACTACAGCCTCCAAATGCACAGACAAATTTTTCACCTCTGTGGGTCTTCTTGACTTACCTGGTGCAAACACAGGCAGGCAGCAGCTACAGAGTTCCAGATGTGTGTATGTCATTGATGCACACAACAGCCCACAGTAACAGTCTTGGTTGGGGACTGTGGAGACACTGCAGGGGATGCAGCAGCAGATTACTCAAGTGTGTACAAAATTGGTAACAAAACCCTTGCTAATGCTCATCAGGAATGATGCTGAGCAGGCATATGCAGTATGCAATGCTTTTACTTGTGTGTCACTGCAAACTCAGCACAAAGAGTTTGAATAAAACCTATTAATTGGAGCGATGCCCAAACTTCATCTAGATAAAGTATTCCTACAGGCATAGTTCAGATTACAGTAATGAGAAAACGAATTTCTACAATCTAATGTTTTCCTATGACAAATCAAGACAGGTTTTACTTTAATCCTTTTCAGATGTAATGAGGAGGAAGCATATATTAGTGGATGATAATAGAGAGCTGCCTTGTACTATGCAAAGCTGAGCATGTCCATTCAGTGAGTTTCAGTGGCAAATTCATTCCCCTGCTGCTTCCATGAATGGTACCTTGTATTTGGGCAACACTGAGTAACATTACAGCACAGACAATACACTCAGTGTAGAAAACTTGAGGGAATTGACCAGTATGACAGAGGTACAAAATTAATTTTCTATTTTAACAGATTTATTCTTGCTAATTATCTATAGCTAGTACAAATTATTTTTCATTTTACCTTGAAGACAACACTTTTAGACTTCAAAGGCCAGTGAGTACCTAACATAAGTGGCTCAGATGCTCACTGAGGCTGAGAATCTTTAGCCTCACCCACAGCCCATCTCCTGCTGGACAATTGCTAACTGAAACTCCCTGCTCCCCTCAACCTATGATAATGGTAAACCAATTGGTTTCGATGCTCAGCAGGGTCTAGAAAACAACAGTTTCATAGCAATTGAAAAAACAGGATGTTTTAATTACTTTGCACTTGTAACCCAGGTACCCTTGATTTTTCTGTTTCTTAAGTTTTGATGGATTGTGTTTTCAGTGTAGCTGAGCTCCATTACAATCAGACCCTTACTCACTGGGTATTGCAAATGTACATAACTTTATATACTCCACAGTCAAGCAGCTGGAGCTTTCCCCTCTTCTCTCTGAGAGCAAGTCATCCTAAGAAGCATCCTTGCTTTCAGTGCATCGTGAACCAGCACAATTGCTTGGCATATGGTAATGAGAACCCAACCAGCAACTTTACAACGTACCCTTTTCCAATGCAAGTCAAAAAATCTGGTAGTGCTTTCAACCTTAAAAATATTGTGGGTAGTCATGTCTCCTCTTTCTGTAAACAGGCTTCTTAAAGATAACCAGGTGGTCTTGACTACTACTTTTTTCCTCCTGTACATTAACAATGGTGATAAGCACAAGAACAGACTGATCTAGCAATGATGCTACTTCCCTGCTGTGCTTATAGTGCATTGTGATGGATGTCAGGATTTCAGTCTATTTTAAAAGAACGTGATGATGGAAGCAATAGTAGACAAGTATTTTAAATACCTACCTTATTTTCACCCTCAGAGCAGGAAACCAAACTCAATTCTGCTTTTCACAATTCTCCTTCAGCATACTGAAGGAGGCTGCAGAGTGAGATTCTTCTAAGAATGATCCTGGTATTATTGTGGTATCAAACACAACTTGCATTCTAATCTTAGTGGGATTACTCCCTGACCCAATGCATTATCGACTGGCAGAAGCTTGCAATGGTAGATATATGGGGGCTTTATATATACACCAATTTATCTATCGTGCTTGTCCTTTTTCTCAAAATATCAGGTTTTGGTTTAAATGACCAGCAGCTCTGCTTGTTGGTGCTGACTAGCAGTCCTGTTCTCCCCTTCCCCACAACACCCTTTTGTACAATAGTGTGAAGTTGCATGATGCTTTTCAACAGCAGGGAACTGCTACTTCAGCTCAGCCACCTCACATAACTTCACCCTACTATTTGCTTAGTGAATAACCCCACCAAGAAATGAGTTGTGCCAGTGTGGTCATGCCTTAACCTGAAGTCTGTGGCAGGCAGTCCAGAAGCTGTGGCAGGACTTCCCGAGTCCGTGATTAGCAAAGCAGCAGCATGGCTCATGGTTCCACATGGCAAGCACAAGTCAGGCAAGCACCTCAATTCCTCTGCAGTTCTGGCAAATAGCTCATTACAGTTCCTTGGTCTGAGGCTAGGCTTCCTTAATGGACTTGCTTTTTAGAAAATTAAGTATTTCTACACACTTTGAAATACTAGGTCTCTGGATTCCATTCTAAATCCGTGTTTTAAAATACAGTACCACTCTCCTGCAGAAGCAGCCAATATAATTTCCTTTGTCATTTACCCCCACATTATAGCAGGCATGACCAGCACATTTACTTGTATCTATCTTGTAACTACCAGTAAGTAGTGCTATCTACTTGTACCCAAGAAGTACCAGATAATTTGCTGCAGGCAAAGCATGCATGGGATGATAGATTCTTTTTGACACACTTTCTGTAACCATGCCAATGTTTTTATAGCTTTACCTGCAAAATGCTGCTACCGAACCTCACTTTTATAGTACCTGAACTTGGATAATTACCAGTATCTTGCTATCAAAGTGCTGAATGTAAGAAATTTATATTTTATACTTGTTTACTGGTCTAAGTTTGCACAGTTGACATAGTAGAGCCAAAATCAAGGAAGAGGAAGATTTTTTTTTTTTTTAAATCAGACCAAGTGTAAAGTACCTTTGAAGGAGGAGCTGTGCTGTGTTTCAACGCCTGATTACTAGAGATTCAGCACACTCCTTTGTGCTTTTCACAGTAAGGAAAGAGACCACATTGCTGGTTTTCCTTAAATTGAAAGCAAGCCCACAGAATGAAGTAAATGCTTACTTGGCTTTATTTGAATATTGCAAAATTGCATCCATGAGAGTATCGGAATTTTTACAAAAAAAAAAATTTGAAATTAACCTCAAACATGTTAAGAAGAGACCATGTTATTTTAGTATGTACTAGTCAGGAGGATAAACTATAAAAGCTGTTTAAATAACATTGCTTGTATTTAATCTGAATGTTATTATATGGGCAACAGTTAATTTTCTAAGTATTATTTACTGTATTCAAGCTGGATATAAAACTTAGATAGCAAAGTATTTTCATACTTAATAATTTTAAGTGTACTAATATATTTCTGACCTACAATGTTTTGAAAATCACTATTCATTATAAAGGAAGCATGTTTTGATGTCAGCAGATTGTATTTATTCCAGGTCACAATAAATTCTAGAGCTAGGTCTAATCTCCAACCTGTATTTGTGCTGAGCTTAACACCCTCACCCAATTTCTTTCTAAGAATTTATACCCCTTCAGTAATTTGATTTCCAGTCTTCAGCAGCTATTATTTATCACTTAAGTAAAGCTATTTTCATTAAAGCTTTACTATAGACAGTCACTTTGCCTCAGATTCTTTTCAGCCAGTGCATTTGCTGTGAGATTCATCAGAGACTATTGATTTGTATTAGGAAGTTAGGTGCACTGGAGAGAATTGCATTCCTCTGCCAATCCCATAACCACTCTTGGTTGAGTGTAATCTGTAATAGTCTGTTCCTACAGCAGGCAAACTCTAAAGGCACAGAGTACCAAACCAGCCTTTCTTTTCTACCTGCTCTATTTTTCAGTCTGAAGTGTCCTCCAATCCAAATCATTTCAGTACAGCAAAACTACAAAAACATCAGCATTTAAGATAGATGGAGGTAGATATAACTTACAGTGTGGGCAAACAGTTAAGTCTTTATCTTCTGTAAAGAGAAAATTAAGTTTGGGGCAGATTTTCATGGGAGCAATCTGCTTTGCCTATTCCTTTCTTGGGGGAAAACTGTAAGCAGACTAATTCAAGGGGCCTGTGATGTGATACATTAAGCCTGCTCTTATCCATCACCAATTCCAAGTAGACACACCTACATACAAATGTCTTGTAGAGAGATCAGCTGTGCAGTGCAAGAGGGTTGCAGTGTTTCCCAAAGATGCCCAAGGAAACAGTACCGAGACTAAGCCAGAATTTGAGCTGTTCTGTAATACAGGAAACAGCTGCTGGTTCAGTCCACACAACCTTTCAAGCCATAACCCTTGGATAACAGGGAAAAAAAAATTGTGATTTTTGGCAGGAACCCCAAAATTGAGCACTCAAATTTAACTAAAGGGTAGATTTTTATTTCCCATTAAGACATCTCAAGGACATAACTGAATGTAAAAAATCCATGGAGGGGCACATACAGCAAATGTGGTGAAGTACAATGTGAACAGCCCCAGGGGTTCAAATAAGGTAGGACCATTAGCAAACTGGAGGAAAAAACCCAAAATTCTGCTGAAGATGTTGTACTTTCTTCTCCATTTACACTGAAAAAAATTCAAATCCAACAAATTCCTTGTATCTCTAAAAATACAATCAGTCCTGGCTAACAAGTTTATCAAGATGGCAACAGGATGACTATAATACAAAACGTTCACTACTACACTCTGTACACACCTGTTGTCCAAACCCTCCCCAAACCCGTGTAGCAATGGTGCCCCCATTATTTGCTTGCTTGCTGGGCCTGCCTGCGGAGGAGAACGTAGATCTTCTCCTTTATCCAGTCTTTGTTGTACGGCTGGTATGTCTGAGTATCAGCACGGTAACTGCAGAGGAAACAAGAAATGTCAGTCTGCTCTGTAGTACATCTACCAGAAGAACTTCACAAACAATTAATTGTCCTTGAGTGTATGAGGTAGCAAGTGGTATACAGAAGATAATATCAGAAGTAGATGGGAATTGCCACTTATCTAATGGATTTATTCTGTTCTCTAAAAAACAGTTGTCCAGCAGTTCAGACTGAGCCTGAAACAAAGCTAGATACTCCAAGCACTACTGAGGACTGGACCACTGTGTTCACATTTTAATTCATGCATTTAATTACTGAAGGGAAACAGCAAGTAGAGAATCTTAGTATTCTAGAGCTCAGCCTGCAGAAGAATAGTTCCACCAGGAAACAATCTAATTTGTCTTAATAAGTCAAACACTTCTTCAACATTACTTCAAAGATTTAAGTTTTCAAGTGTTCAACTTCTGTGTGGAATTTTTTTGAAAATTATTAAGATCAAATTTTTCCAGAAGCAAAGGCGGATTCACAGATGGATGACAAAGAATACTTGCCAGCTGGTACTGAGGATAAGCTTACATCTAACAAGGATACTTCATAAATAGCAAACTGAAAACAAGAATCCACAGATGCATTTCTTTGCTACTGAAGGATAGTTGATAAAAGCAGTCCACTTGCAAGGGCCAGAGAATTCAGTTACTCAGGGCATGTTGAATTAAAACAGGAGACTAAAAACCAAAAGCAATCTGAGAGAAGTTCTGTGTAGGCTCCTGCCCTCCTTTCAATCATTAAAGCTGAATATTTTGTTCATGAAGACGCTACTTTCAGTGAATGACTCAAGAACTACTTAAGTCTTGGTCAGTCTTTAAATCTTGCTGTACTTTTATTTCTGATAGATAAGAAGGGTGAGATGGACAGTGGTAAGAAGGTAAGTAAAAATCCCAATTTAACTAATTCCAGAACAATTTGTAATTCTTACCTAAGGAAAAAAAAACCTAAGCATGCTGTTTCTAAGGAAGTCTTACTATTTAAACCCCAGTATGATTGAATCAAGGCCAAAGAAAGAGCTTCAGTGTATGTTCATACAGCAGTGGTTCTAGTGCAATGTAAAAAATGCTAGTTTCAGGAAAAGTTACTGATTTCTACTCTCCATCCCCAAATCCTTTCATAATGCTATACAGCAAGAGCAGACATCAAGTACTTCAGGACATTTCCATGAACACAAAACATGTTTATAACACCTTGTGCTGTGTGTGCCATCTGGTGGAAAACTATAAGCTGAAGTAGAATTTGGCATGACACTGATTTTAGAAGCCTAATTAAGAAAGGCACAAGACTATCCTAGAAAACAGTTGCTACCTCCTAAAACAAGTGGCTAGTTTCAGTCTGTTAGATAAACTTTCATCTTGCTGCATCTTGAGCACAACAAATTTTTGGCTGCAATGCACTTCTGTAGCCTTTTACCCTACCACAAGTACTGCTCTCAGCTGAAAAAAATTCTATAGCCATTCTGCCTCCTGAGGAACTGGACCAACAGCACAAAGGGAAATTTCAACAGATTCTAGTAGTAATAAAATAGTCAGCTGTATTTAACTGCTGGATTTCAGTCAGTTTCAATGTAAATAAAATCCAAGAGTAACCATTAGTTTCTAAGCCTTCTTTTAGAGGTACCTTATATCTATACTCTTAACTGGACTGGGCAACTTGCTAGCTGCAAGACTGCTGCACTACAGTTACTGCCAAAAACCACACAAAACAGCACTATGTTAAACTCACACAGAAGAGTTTAGAGGGAAGACTTCTGACTTTCCTAAGTCACTGAAATGGATTTGTACAACGGAACTTACACAAGACAGCTGAGGTCTGCCAAGTCATCAATGAAGTCAAACAATTGGCTGATATCATATGTAATGGATGGACTGTTGGGATTCATTCTCTTCAGATGCTCTTCATACATTTTACAGACTCCTACAGAGAAACAAGATTAACCATGAAATATTTAAAGACTCTATGAGCTGAAACTGTTTCAGCTCTTGATCCACAAATAAAAGTTTAGAAATTACCACCATAAAAACAATCAAAATTTCTAGAGCTGAAATACTTTTGTTCCTAGCAATTTGCATTGAAACATAGTACTATAAATCCAGGTAAGATGCATGGAAAGAAAAGTTTTAGTGCTGTCAAATATGTAACTTTTCATGCAGTAAGCTCTAACAGACATCTGGAACTATTTCTAATAATTTTAAGACAACAATTAGAACATATATTCCTACTACACAAACACCTCAGAAACAGAAGAACTCTTAAGAATGATCCTTCTTGATCCAAGAGTCAAACAAGGTATTGCGGCAAGAATGACAGCACAAATGTGTATATACATTTAAAGCACTTTTATTTATTTAAACTAGTCCACTAAATTCAGATACATTTGAGAAGAATGTAGTACTAAAATGAGCAGAGACTTTACGTGGTCTTTGTTATACTTTTGTTTGCCTCACAAAACCTCCTGCAAGACTAATGTTAAGTGAATGACAGCTCTAATATTTCAATCTTCTTTTCATGTTCATTATGCGTATCAAAGTTTTGCAGGATCTTTACTCTGGCACATGTGCCATGAGACTGCATGTTATGCATCAGTTGCACACAATCCTTTATTTAATATATTATTTCCAGCAGCAAACTTTGCCTTACAGTGCTAAGAAAAGAATACTGAGAATTAACTGCTGATCCTGCAATGAAATGCATTGAAACAGGTCTGCTGCATGAGCCCAGAAAGAATATTATCTACTCTCCCAAACTGGATGTGGTTTCATCTAGTTAAATCAAAACCAGACATTTAATAGAAAAAGGAAGTTTTAGAAACAAATAATAACTAGTTTTTAGTTTGCTAGAACATTAATAAGCTAAAAGCATGAGGGTTTTTGTGAATTACTTTTGAAAAACAGCTTATTTTCTCATTAAGTTTGTGAATATGTCAAAAAGAGGATTTTAACAATAGTTTTTAACTTCCATGTCTGCATCCACCTACCTTCCATGCACTCATTCACTGATTCATAATCAGCATATGTTCTGCCTTCTGGCCTCTTGGTAGGCTGGACAAGTAGAATTGTGTGAGACTGGGAAACAAAACAAACACAAAAATACAGGTTACTTGCACACTTTGAATGATTTTGGTTTGAATCAAGTTATTTATATGAAAGAAGGAGTAAAATGAAGCACAATAGTGAAACACTAGACTAGCAATCGAGGACACAGACATTTTCCACATAGCATTTACTATATATGTAAGCTGTGTTAGTTTTGTTTTCAACAGATCCTATCAATCCTTATGGAACTTTAAAATGTGTAAAATCACCAGTAAACAGCTATTGTGTTGAAAAAAAAAATACCACAGGAACAGTTTTTATTTAGACAGACAAGCAAAGCAATAAAGTCAATGTATAAGAGCTGTGGCATTACTGCATTTACTTATTTAATTCCAAATGCAAGCTGTTAGTAAAATTTCCAATGCCCCAATTAAAGAGCAAAGAGGGGACCCAACTTAACAACATTGTCATGTTCACATGAAAGATTTTAACAGAATTAGCTGTTTTAAGTTATCAATTTAACTTCAAGGGAAGTGATACAATAAATCTGCACTTAGCACTCAAGATTATTTCTTGCAAAACAGATGTACTGGTTTTTCCCACTTCAATGAGTTTACTTAAACAGTAATTATGGCACAGAAAACTGTTCCAAATGTTGGAGTCCATAAGCTTGTTCTTCTGCGGGAAAGGCTTAGATGATTGTACACTCTGTGGCTTCCATTATTTCCATAACATTTTTACTTGGCTGCAGCAAGTAATTTGAGCAAAAAAGCAAGATTTTTGAAGTGTACACAATCTGTGATCTCATTAACAGGTTGCATACCACAGAAAGTTTGCAAGCATACTGCAAATGGCCGTTTCCAGTGCTGCTAGTTGGATCCAACATTTTCAGTGGTAATATGTGAGGTGAGCACACAACACAGAGGCATCTGCAGATATCATCTGTCTTAGATTAATCAGCATCTGACAGAAAAATCCTGACCCATACTTTGGAAATCAGTAAAGATACCAATTCGGTGCTCATGAAAAGCAGTGACAGAAAAGAGAAATGACAAATGTTAGGATTTACAGGAAAAAACCCAAACAACAGGACAAATTCTTATCCCATAACTGACAGTGTTCCCATCCTTGGAATACAGTTTTCAGTTCTTTGTCTCAACACAGCAGTAGCAGATTCTGAGAAATTCAGGAAAATGTTATGCAGAGAAAAAGAAGGAGCGAGGCTTTATCTAATCAGTAATGGAAAAAAGGGGAATTCTGAGCTGCACACTGTAACAACAAAAACCATACAAAGGAGAGGAGATAATTTAAATCCACTTTCATGTATGCCAGAGGATGATTGACTTGAAGGGAATTCCCCAAGGTGGGTTGGTATCTGGCTGTTCCTAAGTGCACAGTACTTGGAACAGGCATGTCTTAGCAGGGAGTCCAAATGACTGGCAAAGATTACCATAAAGTAATTTTTCCAGCACTATCATTTTAGTTAGATGGTCACAGAGGAGTGCTAAATGAATGTATAAATTCTGAAATTGCCCAAATAATCAGATTATAGAAACATCAGTGAGCCAGACATGTAAGCCAGTTCCTTCAGATTTCACAGCAGAAGTCATTCAGACTTCTGACTTTAAGCCATTTATCACTTCAGACACTATACAATATCCATTATCAGATACTGGCTCAGAAAAATATGTAAATTAATACCACTGGATCACGTGTATTGTAGAATTAATGCTTTTCAAGCATTTCTTTGGGAACTTGACATTGTTTTACTTTAAAGGAAAATTTGTTGGATTTGATAAAATTGCTGGTCCTGTCCTACCACGTAGGTACAAATAAATGACAAGCTCAGAAGCCTTAGGGAAGTCTCCTATTACCTGCCCTGTGAGCCTAGGTGACAGAACCAAAACAAGGGAAGATCCACAAACCTTTCTGCATTAGCACCAGGTCGTCTGGAGAAGCCCAATATGGACCGTTACTATGATGATACATAATGTTGAATTTCTTTGCATTTTCCTTAAAAGCACAGTTTACTCGCTGCTTTTAAGCAGGACACAGAATGAGGAATCACATGGTTTATATTATACCAATTTTGAACTTCTGGAGGGCACTTGAGAAATTGCTCCTGCTACTGAGAGCAGAACCCTGTAAAACTGGTTAAAGCAGTGCCAAGAGCCAAACCAGCAGGACTTAAAGGCTACACAGCATCTGCCGCCCAAAGAGGCTTCCACCAACTGTAGTGTATTTGACAATAAAGTGGAAAAAAAAGTGCCCTGAAACAATAAAAGTGGAAGATATACACATATTATAAGGGTAAGATGTGCAGTAATGCAAATACCAACCAGTTGCATACTGCATACACCTAAATGCCAAGCAGAAAAAGTGGCCTAAGGCCCACCTTTCATTTTGGCCAACAGGGACAGGGCTTGCAGCTGCACATCATGGCCGAAGTCAACTGCACTGGAGCAAGTACCAGGCAGATATGAAACTTCGCTGCAAACCGACAAGAGGCTGTCCTCCCACTGCACAGCAATCACTTGCTTCAGCTCATCTTAATTCATTAGATGAACGCAACAAACCACGTTAATAGGGAGGCCTTTGAGCTTCAGCGTGCCATTCCCAGTGCCCATAAATGCAGCTCCCGCCCTTCCCTCCTTCGAGCAGAGGGGAGGAGCAGGGAAAGCAGCATGGAAATCGCAGATCAGCCATTTAAGGCCGGCTCGTCCGACGGGCGACACTCGCAGGGAAGCGTTGGGGTCCCAGCAGCGCCCCAAGAGGGGCCGAGGCTCTGGGGGAGAGGGGCAGGAGCCTCCAGCGCGCCGCTGCCCGAGCGCCGCCGCCGCCTTTGTGCTCCCGCCCCGTCCGGCCCTGCCCCGCCAAAACGTGCAGCCGCCCGCCCGGGCCCGCACCAGCGGCCGCGGCCCTCCCGCCCGCAGTGACCCGGGGAACAGGGAGAGGAGGGAAGGGAAGGCCGCCCCGGCGGGCGCGGCGCTGGCGGAACGCGGCGGGCCCGTCCCGCTCTCACCATGGCGGCTCCGCTCCCTCAGCACCGCCGGCAGAAGTGGCGCGCGGCGATCCCCCACAGGCCCTCGCGCCCGCCGGAAGCGCCGCCGCGCCAACGGCCGCCACCATAGAGCCGCTCGCGCCAGAGCGCCGCGCGCGCACGCGCCCGCGGGGCCGCGGCCAGGCTGGCGGGGGCGGGGCGCGGCCGCCGCCATCTTTGGTGGGGGAGCCGCCCGCGGCGCCTCGCGGGCCGAGGCGCCGCCCGCCATCTTGGAGGCGGGCGGCGCGCGGGGCGGGGCGGGGCGGCCCGGAAGGGGAAGCGCCGAGTGCCACTTGGCCGCCGGGCAGCGGCCGTGGGAACGGGCTGGCAGCGCCGGTCCCGCACGGTCCCCTCGGCCCCGCCTGGGGCTGCCCCGCCGCGAGGAGCCGCCTGCGGGCTCGCTGTCCCCCAGCCCTCCCTCCCGCCTGCCCTGCGCGCAGCACGGTGCGGGTGCAAGTTCCCCCGCCCAGGTGAGGGCCGGGCCCGCCGGCCGCTGGCCAAGCCGCTCCCGGCCCGGCCGCGCACCCCGGCTGCGGGCCGAGCCGGCCGCTGCCGCCGGGCGCAGAGACATGGCCCAAAGCCTCTCCCGGGAGCTCCGTGGCTGCACGGGTTAAGGCGTGCTGGGGAGAGGTGGAAAAGTTGCTGTTGGATTTCACTTCAAGGGACCGGACAGAAAGCGGCGAAATGGATGACTTCCCCTCCATCTGCCTGCTGTCCCTGGCCATGCTGGTTGCCTGCTATGTGGCAGGAATTATCCCCTTGGCGGTTAATTTTTCCGAGGTAAGACAACTCCGCCAAACTGCGCTGGTTGCTAAGGGAGAAACCAGAGAGATCTCCCAGTAGGAGTTGGTGCCGTCCCCTTGCAATATGGCAACGCTGCTAAGGGTGAAGCTTTATCTTTAAAAGTTATGAGTGCAGTATTAATTTTCATTCAAAACTACTGTGTAAAATTATGCTTGTTTCACAGTGGCCATTTAAACTTGTTGGATTTGAGTCGGGTCTCTGCTACAGGTGAAGTGAATTCTCAGCACGTAGTGTAAGGACATGAATAAGCATGGCTATTCTTAGAAGCTTGTGTAAGAAATGGCTGAAGTCAGTGATTATCTCTTATGTGCCTGTGGGCTACTCAAATTAAGGCTTCTAAAACAACTCTAAGAATATTGTCAGAAAAACTTTGATTCACATTTTAGCTCACAGCTTTCACTGTTGAAAATTAAACCTTAGCTCTTTGATTACTATAGAGTTACTGCCCCGTGTAATTCAAGGCATTCTTTCAGAAAAATATCTTGGATAAATAAGGTACTTAAAGAAGAGGGAAGCTTTCAAAGATTGGGTAAGTTGCCAAACAGTACAGGAGTTCCTGGTTAAACATCTTTGTGTGCTTCTAAGAAATAGTTGTTGAGGTGAGCATGGTTGTCACAGCCTCTGTAGGATTCCTAATATCCTCTGGTACCCGAGGGGTTTTTTTCTTTCTAAATGATGGTTATTTTATAGAGGCATGGCATAGTGAGAGTTTAGTTGTACTATGGTACTAAGAGCACTCTCATGAGGGGTTCCCATTTCTCTTGGAAGTAGTGTTACTTTTGGGAAGCAGGGTGCTGGAGTAGAAATTTGTCTTCCCTTGTCTTGCCTTTGTCTTCCATTAAATCAGAGAGCTGCTCGCACCTGTCCTTTGGTCCCATCATTCCTTGGAGGCTTTGGGAGCAGTAGACCTTGAGCAGCTTGGAAGAAAAGGCTGTTTGTTTTAGGATAAGTACAGCTCAGCTAAATGAGTTGAAACCTAACATTCTATTCAGGCATGTTCACATGAACATCAGCAGAGTTCTGTTTTGCCAGTGCTTCATCTGATGCTTTGGTGGACCTTCCTTTATGTGTCTTTAGTGTTGTTGCTCCCACTGTCTTGCTCTTTAAAACTCATTTCTGCCTGAAGCCCACAAAAGGTTTTCTTGCACATTTGCTGAGAGCACTGCCTTGTGTGCTAATATTATCTCTTTTTAAATTTAATTTTACATTTCGTCATGTATGTGCTTGATAGTCACCTGTTAACTCTTAATTTATATTCAGTGTTGTTTGAAGTTAAGGTTCTTGATCTGTCTGGGTGTTTACTTTGTGTAGTTGATGCAGTGTGGTTCATTCAGTGGTCTCCTAAACTTTTCAAGGCTTCCAGGAGTTGCAGGAATACAGATCTGTTGTGGATCCAAAACTGCCTAAGCAGTAATCATGTACTTAATTAGCCTTTTGTGTGTGTGGTATTGAACCACCACTATGCAATGTGCAGTCAAGTTTATTGCTATCTTAAGCTCTCAGAGATTCTAGAGTTGGTTTTACACTTGATTTAGATATTTTTAAGGGTTTGCATGCAGTGCTGGTTTAAAAAGAGCAGAATATCTCTGCACATGATGTACAAATCCCAGCTAATCCTGGAAGTGTCTAATTAGAAGTTATAATTTTTTTGTTTAAAATTATTGGTTAGGAATCTGCAATAAAGACAATTTCAAACTGAAATGACTGTTTGGACGGTCCTTTCTATAGTTTGCAAAAAGTTTTGCAGGTAGCCAAAGTGAGTAAAAATACCTCTTCCCACTGGCCATTTGTAATGATTGAGTTGAAAACAAAAGTTAATGCTGTGCATGGTATACCCCAGATACTACAGAACAATAAAATTATTCATTAGTGTTAATACACTAATGTGTTAATAGTGTTAATACATTCCTTCAGATTCCTTTTTGCCATGGAATTTATTATTTATGTTCTGATCTCATGCTGTGTTCTATTATTTCAATTAGATTAGGATATTGGTGAGAGTATAAAACTCTGGGAAAGCCAGGTATGACTAAACATGAGTGATGAAAGGTGCCAACTGAAGAGAGCTGTGCCTTAGTTCTGTGTGCAGAGGTACCCTTTCACTTTAATCCTAATATACAGGGCTCTATTGGTCTAATTTTGGGCTGGAGACAGCACTCTTCCAATTCTGAGGCTGTCACTTAAACTGTAGTCTAAATAAAAAAAAAAAAATTAAATTGAAGTTTTAGCAGTTGAAATGTTTTGGTGGTATAACATGAGGCAGGAACTGGGGTCACTTCCTCCTGAAAGTAGGTGTGAGTTTTTGATAGGTCCAAGTAAAAGTTTCAGTGCCCTACAGACTTAAAAAAATACTGAATGGTGAAACGGTTTGCTAATTTGAAATTTTTCCTGTAGAGTTTTAGCACTGCTTACTGTGTTGCTCTTGTTTTTTAACATGCAAGTGTATTTAACAGAAATGGTTTGATTTCTTGTATAAAGGTGTATTCCTTCTACCTATATATGTAGGTTGTTCTTACTAAATTTCTGTATTCACTACAAGCAACTATTTTGTACTGAAAAGGAGATGGAGACTTACTTTGAAATAACTTGTTAGTCTGTATTCTTTTAATGGATCTTTAAAATTCACAGGTGCCTGAGTGAAGGCAAGCTATGCCATGTATTTGCAGTTGTAATTAATCAGTATTACTTCTGACACTTTACTCTGTGTGTGTGTATGCAAAAAATACTATAGTGTTGCAGATAAAAATAATGTTTTTTTCCTTGTATGTTACTATATTTTTGCAGAATTACTTGAACAGCAAATGTTGAAAATTTATCTTCTTGTGTAGATTGCCATTGTATGCCAATTTGCCAAGTGTAATTATTCTATGTCCAAGTATACAGTGCATGTTTGTGGGAGCTTTACACTTGTTTTCATCTCTTGCATATGACTGTTGGAGTTTTCCCCAGTAATGCTGCAGTTGTTCCCTTATGGTCATATTTGGCTTGCTTTCAGGAAGCTGGTTGTGCATCTCCTAATGCCTCCTGCTTCTGTGCAAGTGTTGCACATTTCATTGACACTGAACTGTTTGTGTGGTTATAGTGGATGAAGGAGAGTGGATGGCATAAAAATGATATGCAACAAGTGATTTCCTGCTATTCAAATGCTGCCCTCTCTCTCTAGGTCCTCAGTAGTTATCATTAGTGTTTTGGTGGTGCTCAGACTTCTCACTAAACATAGAAGATGATGGTGATTCTGCCACTGAACATGTGCTGCACAGTTCTTAGGAGTATCTAAACTCCTGTGGTTGCTATATGTTGTATGATGGGGGTTCTTATAGAAATTATGAGCAATGGCCTCTGCTAATTGTTATATTTTAGACTCTATTATATCATAACAATTGGCTTTTAGTATGTGGCTTTGACTTCAGCCTGTCAGCATAGTCAAAAGGAAGTGAATTGGTGAATTTCTTGGTGAAACAGAATGTAATTCATTTGGGAGGAGGATATATCTCAGCCTTTTGCCCCAGACTAGAATATAACTAGGAAGATAACTCTGAAAAACTTGGTTTTTGTTATAGAAATGATTCCAAAAATATGAATAAAACTATTATTCTTTACTATAAAAACATTAGGTTTATATATTGCTGTTAAGGTTTAGTTGAAAATTCTCAATATTTATGTAACGAGTAACCCCCTTCCCCAACATCTGTTAATAAGGGAGAGTAAAGAAAGTTTTTTCATTCTTAAAGATGATACTTGTTTTGTACTTAATTGCAGGAGAGATTGAAGTTGGTGACTGTTCTGGGTGCTGGGCTCCTGTGTGGAACTGCCTTGGCTGTCATTGTGCCAGAAGGAGTACATGCACTTTATGAAGACATTTTGGAGGGTAAGAACCAAACCCAGAATGCCTCATTCAAGATAACTTAGTCATGGTGTGTTATTATATACTGAGGCTTCTTTTTAGAGTTTTTAAGATGAGATTGATAGAAGAGCTTCAGAGCAGCATGACACAAGGCAGGCATAGAAATGCAAAACTACTATAGGCATGATATTGCACATGGAGGGATATGATCAGTCTGCAGATTGGTGACTCTTGCTGAGTTATCCAATCATTTGTGGGTCTGGATATTGTACTGTTCATGGAATAACAGCCTTTTACGACAGGTCATGTGTAGTGTTTCTTGCTCTGGGGAGAGTTTAGCTTCCACTGGAACTTCAAAGGAGGTGTAAGGGTGCCTTTGGCAGAGAATGAAATTATGGAGTATTTACTGCTTCTCTTTGTAGTTTAGGCTGCTTCTCATTAAAGCAATTGCAGGAGGTGTTTTACAAATCTGTGTCCCTACCCTAATAAGAATTTCCTCTGAAGCTGAAAAGCATCTTGGAACTAATATACTTAGCTGAAAGTTATGGTTATATAGGGCTAATTTACAGAGTAGCAGACATTTCTTCTTGCCTAGTGGTATACATTACACATCTAAATCTCTGTGTTCAATCATCCCGTTTTAGTCTGCTGTCACTGTTGTAACCACCTCATTTTCTCTAATGAAGAGTTCAAAGTGACCAGAGATTGTGTCTTGCAGGGATGTTTGTGTGGAGTGTGTCTTTGAGCCGAAAGCCTTAACAGACCTCAGTTTGAGGTTATGGCATTGTTTCAAATAGCCAGGGCTCATCACCTCTATTTGGAGTCACTTTAAATTTTGCTTTTGCTTGGAGACTTGTGCTATTAGATGACCATTGCATGTATGAGATTTTTCCAGTATGGTCAGAATCAAAACATTGAAGATAAAAGGCAGTGGCTTACTGATTGCAAGGGAAAGCACTATAAAGTTGATGCTGTAGAGAAACTTGCAAACATCTGGTGTACTGTTGTTGCTAATTGGGGAATGAGAGGTAACTGTAGTCCTTTGCTTTTCCTGTAGTACTGGGTTTTGCATTTCTAAACTTCTAAATTTCATTTTAGTAATATGCTTTAATGTATATTGTTTTAGCTTCCACTAAATTTATGTTGTTCTGCTTAGATTTAGAATAAACAGAAGAGAATACATAAAATCATCCTTTATCAAGAAGTGAAAGAAGCTCTAATTATGCCTTTATACTGCACTATAATTTGTGCACTCTGATGTCGATATCTCTAATGAGCTGTAGTTGTGGGTTTGCTCTCCATTCGGTTTTAATTCTGAGTAGACTGATTTTTCTCTTGTAATGGTACAGCTAGCAGTGAATACAATTGCTGTGAGCATTTGTGGGTTTTCACTAAATGGGGCATATTGTTCATGTATGATTAAACAGCTTGCTGTGTAGAGCTCTATGGGCTGTAACTTTGTTTAGTATATGGCAAAAAAAAGACACTTCACAGTACTGCAGTAGTAATAGCAGAAGTATTTACTTAGAAAAAAGTGTCTGTGAATGGCTTCAGACTCGATGTCTAATTCACAGTATTGTGTATAACAATAGTCTGTCTGAATTTTTTTTATACTGCAAAGGATAGAATTAATGGGTATTACAGATTTAACTGCAAAAAAAATTTATAAGATTTTTCCTAGAAAAATAGAATATTCAAAATTAAGACTGTGAGAACAGCTTTCTCTTTTATTTTCATGTTCACCTATTTACATCATTAAACCTAGAAAGGTGCAACTAAGGGAAACATTGAGGTATATAAGTGGAAAAACAAAAAGAGAAATCTTTCTTTTCCCTCTGTCAGGTGTAGCTTAACTCTGACTGGTTGCTTGCTAGCAAGCATTTTAATGTTTTCCATTGATACAAAAGTAATTTGCTATTGCTTCTGTATTTACCTGTGGGTAAACAGGCCATGGAATAAATAACTTCTAATTTTCAACCTTGTAGGCTGAGAGCAAATAGCATATCATTACTTTGATTATTCTTTGATTATAAACCTGTGTATTTGTGTAGTGAAACCTTGGTTTGGGTGCTACCAGCAAATAAAATTCCTTTGCTGACTTCAGTCCTTTGTTTTAACTGCTGAAATTGTATAATCCCTGTCAGAAAGATTGCCCTGAGTTATACAGTTATATGTCTTGAAATTATCTGAAGCAAATAATATAGATGGCAAAAATCTTGTGTGGTCCAAAGCAATTTTATTGATCAATCAATCTTGTTCAGCAAAGATATGTTTGAAATATTTGCTACCAAGCTTATTCTAATGTGCTTTGACTGTAGTAATGGCATTGTGACGTGGTGGGATGAACATACACTTGTCCAAGAGGATTTAGGAATATTGCAGCAAGACAGTGACTTACTAGAGTAAGTCAAGCTCTTGGTATAAGTTTTTAAAGCTTCTGAAGAGTAGTTGCCATCCAAAAGACCTAAAAATGAAGAAAACACGGACAAGTTTTAGTGGCTTGTGAAGGGAAAGGAAACCACGCATAATTCATCCCCAGGACTTAGACATTTGTAGGTCAGTGTGGTTGAGTTAACTATTGTTGTAGTCTGTATCAATGGGGTATATCAATACTAGCTTATTTATATCTCAGCATCAGTTAATCTTCTTAAAGATGGTATTAAATCTTTTAGTGGAGGGAACCTATTTTATCTCCTCATCCTGTATTTTCTCACTTAAGTGAAGATAATGAAGTAACTGCTTGACAGTATCTCTGAATATTGACAAAACAGGCAACTTCAGTTAAAAGGGAATTTTACAGCAATTTTTGTGAATTAATTAGTATTTAAAATGCAACCTGGCTTATAACATATTAATGCTTTCTTTGCTTTTCCATGCTGAAGATGTGTGAGGCTTTGCTAAGAACATTATCTAAAAAAGACCATAACCAAGGAGTTTTGTGTATTGTCCAGGAAAGTGTGAAGAAGGCTTTTGGCAGAGGAGGAAAGAAGTGACCATGTCATGTTTAGTCTCCTGATCTGTTTGCTTGCCTGTCACAGGAAAGCATCACCCAGCGGGCGAGATGCAGCACGCGATGGAGTCCGAGAAGGTAGCAAAAATCCCAGCAGTACATGAGCATGGCCACGACCATTCCCGGTTGCACGCCTACATTGGTGTGTCCCTTGTTCTTGGATTTGTCTTCATGCTGTTGGTGGATCAGATAGGCAGCTCTCATGTGCACTCTACAGATGGTAAGTAAAGATTCACTTCAATTATGCTTGCTAATTAGTCTCAATTAACAAGTTGAATTCTTTTTTTTTTGATGCTACCAGGGTGTAATTTGTCCACTCATGTCCAGAGTTTCAGTAGGTACTTTAAAAACATAAGCCATAAACCAAGGTCCATGTAAGCTGGAAATCTATCTCTAAATTCACCATAATTTGAGAGCTTTCCTCAATAACATGTATGAGCACATGCGGTGTAGGGGCAGAGGGTGACTTGACACTTTACTGTGACACTGACACTTTACACAGTTACTGTCTGTTTTACAGTATCACCTATAGGGGATTTCTTTGGCTTTTTAAAAAACTTCAGGTTAGTCTTATATTAGTTTGTTTTTCCTACTTAATTGTCATATATGTAGGTAAAATTTGCAAAGAAGAGCAAGTTGCCTTAAATAAGATGGCAGGAATGTTTAGGTGTAAACTCTGGTACTTTAACTGCATAGCTGGACCTCCCACACTAGTCTATAGCCTTACATACTTCCAAATACTTCTTGCTTTATGTAAAGATTTGTCAGCTTTGTGCAAGACTCTAAAAATGCCTACCGTTGCCTTTGTTTCTTGCCTGTGACTTCATGCTCAGAGTATAGCTTGAAATGCACCAACGGTGTTCTGTTGTTTGAAAAGGTATTTTATTGCCTTTGGCTGCTCATTTTCTCCCACACAAGGTCCTCTGATGCTGGAATTTGGCCCTGAAAAATATACTGAATTGATCTTAAAGGAAAAGTGAAACACATACAAAGGTAGGGGGATATGTTTTGGCTGGATTCTTGTCAGTTCACGGTGCAGCTTGTTTGTATGGGATTCCTGTGGTGGGACAGATGAAAGGCCAGTGCAGGGGCTATGTCACTTGTGTACTCCTGAAGAAGTGTAAATGGAGCCATAGCCATGGGTAGCTGATTTTCAGAGCTGTTCTAAAGAAACACTGGCAATGAGGATATCAGGGAGATGCAGGTGAGCAACTTCCAAGAGGATCCTTGGTTTGTATAGGTTATGACCCTTTTCCGTGTCTTTGATCCTAGCAAATAGCAGGAGAAGACTGTGATCTGTGTTACAAATACAGGCTACAAAATAGAATATTAAATGCAGTTTTATCTAGCCTCTACCTGTCACAGGAGATGTAGCTGTGTTTTTGTAATGCTTTTTAAAGCTACTGAAGAAAAACATTTTTCTTGAACCAGTGTCTTGTAGTTTATTATCTACCAAGTGACTAGATGTTACTGTGCCTAAACTAGAAAAATTCAGTAGGCCAGAATGAAGGTATGAAGTCAAATGTGATTCTTCGTGTTTAATAATAAAAAAAATCCAATCAATCCAAAACAATTGTAAAGGAAACGTTTTTTGTGAATATCTCCTCCTGTTTCACATGAGTATACCATTGCTGTTATGCAAGTGCAGCTTATGCAATTAATTACTCACATGGTTTCCCCTTCATTCAGAAGATAAAGCTGACCAAAGAAGATGCATTATTTTAGATCTGACTCACTGGGAAACTACATGTGTACCTGGGAATGAAGAGAGACTTAGGGGGTAAGGGACAATGCAGGAGGAAAAAGGACTGGAATTTCTGTTTCAGCATCACTGCTGTTAGTGTAGGTGTGCTTACAGATTTTTTACAGACCACTGGGATAATTCTGTCATGGCTGTTCAAACTATCTGAAATTAAACAGCTGAAAAATAAGATGTTTCTGTACTTTGTAGAGCTTACCAACCCTGCTTATTCACCCGCAGTGATTCTCTGTAACAGTTTCACCTCTGGTTGTGTAGTGGAGGATATTGATGTTGCCCTGCTAATCTGCAAATGTCAGGCAATTCTGGTCAAAACACTGGATCTCAAACAGCCGTGGCTGCATTTCTCCTTTCTGGTGTAGCATCAAAGGGAAATCTTTGCAACTGGTGCTATGTCAAGTAGACTTTGTGTGCTAGGAACTGCCAGGGAATTGCTGCAACAAAAACTGACCCAGACTGTCACCTGCAGGAAACTACGAACCTTGAGCTGTGTGGGGAAAAATCATCCTAACTCTTGAAGCAGCTCTGAATTCTTGGGATCCAAAAGTAGCTTTTCTTTTTCTTGGTGGTACAGACCTTTAACGTTTCATTTCAAGGTTAAGAAAAACATCTGCTTCTGCCTATGTGAGAGATCCTGCAAATTTCAAAGAATTATCCTTGAGTCTGTCACTTGTTTGTTGGCTGAACTTCAGGTGATTTAAAGGTGTTAAGTGTCAAACTATTTTGCAGTAAATCTAATGCAAAAAGAAGCTGGTGGTCTTGAATCTCCCCCTAAGTATCTGGAGGGACATGTGTGTAGTGATACTTACAATATTTTTACTAGGATAATTTATTCATTTGATCTCTTTATCATAATTGTTTTCATGACTGTTTCAGATCCAGAAGCTGCAAGATCAGGCAACTCCAAAATCACCACAACACTGGGATTAGTAGTCCATGCTGCAGGTAATGTGGGACCTGTTATTAGTGCTTGACAAGTATATGTATTGCTGTGTGGGTCACCTTCAGGTATGATGGAGACATTTGGGCTTTGCTTTTGGAGGTGGCTTTTTATAAAAGAAAGAAAAAGAAAAGGCAGGGAGAACTAAGGATCTTTCCCAGAATTAACTGGGAGCTCAGATGGTTCATGGAGTTTTATTTGGGTAGAGAATTTTATCTTTTACTCTTTACTTTTTTGTTTTTCCCATCTGAAAGGTTGTGTGATGCTCACTCTCTGCCTCTTCAATTCTTTTGCTGACTCCTTTAGCTGCTATATTTCAATACACGCTACAGATTTGATAAGTTGTATGAAACACCTTTGGGTTTGCTTGTCGGTTGATGGGTTTTGAGAAAAAATACTAATTTAAAAGAGTAGTATCTTGTAGGGGGGAAAAAGGACATTATAAGGTGGAGCACAAAGACTTGACTGAAATACATTTAGGCTGACTTACAAGGACTGACTGTTAGGTGTGTGTTACAGTCAAGCCATGTTCATATTGTGACTTTTCACTATACATGTATAGTATAAATATGGTGCTTTTTCATGTCCTGCTGAAGGCTGTTGTCTAGCTACGTCAGAAGATGTTGATCAAAAAGATACTTCTTTGCCAAAGTGTGTATATATTAGGGACTAGTATAGTATCAATTTTTTATTTCATTTAGGCAGTATTTGTTGTAAGTGATAAAAAATGTTTACAATAGTATTTATATTTGAAAAATCATTTAAAGGGCAATAATTAAAATTCTTGCAAGGCTTAGTATCTTAAACAGATTTTTTTAACTAGAGAGGAAGTGTGTTCTAGTAGAGAAGACTAAAACAACTAAACTGTTATTTTTTTGAATTTGAAGGAATGTGTCAATATGGAGTAGATTCCCATTATGGTTTTTATGATGTTAGGAAGTATGAGACAACTCTTTTTTTGAGGGTTTTCTGATATTCTGAAATGTTATGGCTTAACAAACAAAGACAAGAGAATCCTCTGTTGGGCTGCTATTGTTAATGGCAATTTTCTGAAATAGAGCTTCTTAAATCAACATGTTTTATACTGTCAGCCTTTGAGGGGGTGGGGAAGCTCATGTAGAAGAATAATCCATGACTCTGCACTCCTTTTTCAGCTGATGGCGTTGCATTGGGTGCAGCAGCTTCTACTTCTCAGACTAGTGTCCAGTTGATAGTGTTCGTTGCAATTATGTTGCACAAGGTGAGTTACCATCAAAAAATCTTGCTTGTTCTTCAAAAGACTATTAACACAGGAATTGCTAAAGATCTACAGTTTAATTAGTGATGTAATACAGAAGTGATTAATGCCATTGAAATTAAGAGGTTAGTACAGTGTCAGGGACCAAAAAGCACAGGTATGAAGTATGACTGAAGATCACATGATTGATGCTAAGTCTGAATGGGGTGTGAGAGACAGTTCTGACTGCCTACCTTAGTAGGCAGAGGTTGGGAAAAGTCTCCCAAAAGTTGAGAGGGAAGAGTAGCTCATAAAGAAATGTGTCAGCTTCACACTGACTTCTTCTGAAGCTGGTATGGTAGTGTTTATTTAACAAACAAAAAAACCTAGGTTATTATTGCTGTAAGAGGCACAGAAGTATATGCTAGTGCATTAGGAGGAAAAGCAGTTTCATGCTGATTACAACAGTCTTGGTTCTGTATGTTCATCAGAAAATGGGGAGGATATTTGTTGTGAAGGGTTTTAGTGCTTGAAGGGTTAGTCTTTTGAAACCATTGAATATCAGAGTATTAAATCACAACAATTAGCTTCTGGTTACCTCTCTTGTAGTAGCTTCAACACTACTCATATACCATTTTTGTAGGAAAACAAATGTTTTGCTGATGGTAACTAGCAAACAGTGGCTCTTGGATAGATCTTTGCTGAATACTTGTATGAATGTGAACCTAGTGGCTATGTAGGCTCTAAATATACCTGTACAGATGAAACTTGCCTTATGGTAGCATATACATGGATTACAGTGGTTAAAATTCAGTGGTTAAATTCATCAGAAAGCATACATAGACATGTTCAAGATGTTAGGAAATGCATATCTCTTCTGTTTTTCTTCGATGTTCATATAAGTAATTGTGGTTTACATAACTTTGAGGGTGGCAATGTCACTGTCTCCTCTTGGAGCTTAACTTATGGCTATTGCCAGGTGAAACTTGCTCTTGCTATTCTTAATGTTCTTAATTGCCTTCTGGAATGGTACAATTTTAGAGGAGGAAAATTTTGCCTATGACTATTCAGTAATAGAAGAGAAACTTATTTCTTTTCTGGTGTCTTTTTTTCTATTCTGATCCTCTCTGATTCTTTTGTCTTTCTCATCTTTTTTCACTCATGATTTCCTTCTATGTTAAAAAAAAAATTCTGTGTATAAAAATTTCCAAATTTTAGTTTTATGTCTTACCTCAGAAATGTCAGGGTGGATTGCTATTGTCTTTATACAAGTAGAAGTATAGTAAATTCTATAAGTAGTGGGACATCTATGCCTTTTGGATAAGAAACTGGATGCCAGCAGAGGGAGAAGGAAGTGTTTTGGGCAACTGTTTCCCTCCCCATGTTAATTGTAGAATTTTCCTACAGCAGATGGAAAAACTGTCTATCTAAGGATGTGTGATAGTAACAGGATGAAAAAGGACATTACCGATAATTCCTAAGGTGGAGTCTTAGGAATTATAGCAATGACTGTAGTCAGAATGAATATTTTAGTATTTATGATGACTACACAAGTACATGTTTTCTGATAGCCAGAACATGAGTTTCCATTAAGTTTGGTTATTAAGGTGGGGCAGTCTGCAGAATGCTGTTAATTTGGGTTAGCTGCAGCACACTAGTGCCCACCCTGAATGTCTTCCATTTCAGTCCATTTCAATGTAGTAAGTTGTACTTCAACCTTTTCTCATTTTTCAGGGGGTTTTAGAAGGTATTGTATTAGCAGTGAATATTGCTTTTTGCAGGCACCAGCTGCCTTTGGCCTGGTTTCCTTCCTGATGCACGCTGGGCTTGAACGGAATCGAATCAGAAAACACTTGCTGGTCTTTGCATTAGCAGCACCTGTTATGTCAATGGTGACATACTTAGGGCTAAGCAAGGTAGGTCCATGGTTTTGTTCTGCCCAAAATCTAGCTTAGTGGTGAAGCTTGGGGAAAGGACTGTGATATGAGTTTCATATTACATAATTCCAAACTGCCTGAGAAATTCAGCAGAATGAAGATACAAGAAAAGTTGATGAAAAGGTAACAAGATGAATGCACAAAACAAATAATAATCCATCCATTTCACATCAGAATCAGTGACATAACTCCTTTATAGAGTTTGGTATATTTTTTTTTAAAGTCTAATTACTGGTTTTTATCCTTTCTGCTGCTCCCCATTGAGAAAAATTTATTCATATAGCAGGTTTTATGTGATGCATATTTAAATAAGTATTTTTCAGCATTGTTGCATGCATTCTTCTTTTAATATGTATATAGGAAATTATCTCCTCTAGCTTACCCCACCATCCCAGAAGTGGTGCTCTATATTCGAAGTCTGTGTCAGAAGTGGAGTCCTCAGCTAGAACAGTCTTTGTGCCTTACTTCATAAAGCGTCGTTGTGTCTTGGGTCTGTACAACAAATGGCTTGTGAAATGGGACACTGCACACGACTTTATCATCTCTGTCCAAATTAAATGTTTCTGCTTCTCTTAGCATATCCTGGGATGTTCCTGTATTTCTCAGCTGTGGTGTGTCCTGCTGGTGATACACTATGGTGGCATGTTGTAAAGCATATAACAGGATCTCATGAAACTCAAGGCATGATAGGAAAGATTAAATATATCATCTGGGCTAATCCTTTATTTGCTGGATAGGAATTATATTTGGCATTACAGTATAAAAGACAGCAAGAAAAAAGGTTTGGTCTGTAAATAGAAAAGAGAATTCTCTTTGAGCACTGTTTTGAAGTGTCCTCATCAAGGACTGAGTTTACATTTTGCCCTCCAGAAAGAACAGAGAGTTGATAAGGCATCTGGGCTGTCACAATGGTTTTGTAGTTCCAGATGATATATCTTTCTGTTTGAGATATATCTTTCTGAGAGTAAACACAAGAGCTAAGATTACACCTGAGTTGGAAAGCATTGAAGAAACGTTTGAATCTGATATATGTGGTTTGTATTTCATTGCATTTACTGATCTGTAGCATATCTTAATCCTATTATGAAGGTGAAGAGGTGCTCAGTTTTGATGCAGAAGATGCATTTCTTCATGAAGTTTGCATGGAAATGCTGGAAAAGTTTTGGGTGTTTAATTTTACACACAAATGAAGTATTTAATGAGTGATGTTCTGGGACTTGGTTCCCAAGAGCAGTGGAGAAGATATTTAAATGCTAACATCTTTTTTGAATCCCTTGTTTAGAAAAAGGGAGGAAAAAAGTCAACCTTGAACATCCTCCCTAAAATTTGTGGCTTTGCAATATGAATTTTAATTTTTTTTTCAAAACCTGTTTGGTATATTGGCTGTGAGCTGTTCAAACAAGATGCTTCAGCAGACTCTGACTTTCTTCCTTTTCTGAGAGTTCTTTTGCAAGGATTTTTTCTTTTGTAAGTCCAAAGTGAAGTAACTAGCAGGAGGGATGTCTTTCTGCCCCTACAACTTCAGGGTGCCAGTTAGCACATGTAAGGTGCAAGACACAAAAAATCACACTAAACCATTGTCATTGTGAGATGAGACTTGATAGAAATCCTACTGTTCCTGGATACTGAGAGATTTTTATTTTTATTACTGATTGAAAAACTTCTGCTATTCTCACTTTTTTTTGCTGTTTGTGTTTCAGAGCAGCAAAGAAGCCCTTTCAGAAGTCAATGCCACTGGAGTTGCTATGCTGTTTTCTGCTGGGACTTTCCTTTATGTTGCCACAGTTCATGTTCTCCCAGAAGTGGGAGGAATTGCTCATAGCCACAAACCTGAATCAACTGGAGGAAAAGGACTCAGTCGTCTGGAGGTGGCAGCCCTAGTATTAGGATGCCTTATTCCTCTAGTTTTGTCCATTGGACATCATCACTAAACACTCAAATTTCAATGTTCTCCTCGATAAGACATGAGCAGTAAATGTCTGCTGCTCCCTTTATCATTCTTTTACCCATCATTCATCCCATCCACTTTATGGAGTTCAGAGGGAATCTTGATTGCAAAATGAGGAATATTGGGAAAGTTTTTAGTGTAGCAAAATGTACTTTGGCAGCCGGACACAAATTATATGTAACTTTCTTTTCTGAAGACATTTGCTATTTTAATTGTTACTTCTGGCCCTATTCTCAGGGAAGATGGAACTTGAAGTTTAAGAAAGGTGAGCAGGGAAGAACAGAGCAACTCTTCACGAAATTGCAATCACCAAAGTATCCTGCAGTTCAGTTTTTACAGCTGAGAGCAAAACCCAAGGATGGCTGTGTTGTGAGAGGTTGAAGTCTCACTAATGAAGAAGGGGGCTCTCCCCCATTGGTTCTGTGTTGTCCTGGCAATGCAACTGGCCTTTGTGATGCTTGTCACTAATTGTATTGCAGAAATGGGCTACACTGGGAACTCTGTATAACACTGCTATTGTCACAGAAGTGTCACTTGATAGGAAAGAAATTATGTAGACAATGTATAGGATTAGAGGAAAAAATCAGCTGTTTAAGAAAGTGCAAATGAGTTTTGCAGTGTATTCCATCATTTAAGACAAAGGATAGAAGCAAGGAGAATAGTGTTTTGATTGTTTATTCAATTGTTAATAAATTCTAAAACGCAGTGTTTCTTGGGAGATAGTCTTCTGCCCAGTCAGTCAAATGTTAAGCACCAAAAATGTCAGGAGGAGTTATGTATTGGCTACTGAGATACACTAATACTTCTGTTGAGAGAGATACTCATAGTGCCCTTTGAAATAGAGCTGTTCTGGGCTCTGAGTAGTAGAAATCTGATGGAGACAGCTGTTGAGGGACCAGAGAACTTTATTAGCTCATTTTCAAAAATCTGAACTGCTGAAATCCGTGGAGGACTGTGTGGGTTTTTCACTAAATAAAGGTATTACGGCTAACAAAACAAGATGTTTAGTTAAATATTTATGCTGCAGATAGAATACAAAGTGTTTCTAAAGGAGTTCTGAACAACAAAAACTCAAACCCACCAAAAACCAATCTGGTGGGTTCCCAGTGGACCTGTTAGACATTTTGCTTTTCCTTTGGTAGTTGTTCATTTGCCTCTTACTGATAAGTATTAATTCTGGTGAATCTACTGGAGGACTTTCTGCCAATTGCTGATGTCTCTCACTATAGAGGAGTGGTAAAAGATCCCTCCATTTTCAAGGCACAGCTTTGTCTTACCAGGCACCATTTCCCTTATGCAAAACATGTTATACTCTAATGTGCATTGAAAAGTCAGGAATGCTTGACATGCACAGAATCAGCATAAAATTCATTCTTTAGGGGAAAACTTTTTAATGCTGGTCCCCTTTTAAGCTATACTTTTTCTGCACTTTTTGAAGATAACATTGCCAAACCTATTTTTCTTTCTTCTATTCTTAATTTTAAAAATCTTGAAGAAATATCTTCTTAACTGAAGTGCTTCTTGTTTTCATATGAATGACTGTGACTGTTTGTCATGGCATTTATTACTTAATCTGCAGAGCCCATTGTGCCTCATAACTTCTTTGCATTTTTATTATTGTCCTGTTTGTCTGTTAGTTCAGAGAGTAATGGGTATGGCCTGGCTCTTGGACTCGTGATGGCTTTGTCTGTTGGCTCTGTAACAATACTGATGTATCCAAGGATTGAACCTAGTATTGATTCCCAGGAGTGCTTGGTCATTTGTGTGTTTTACTATGTAAGATCAATGCAAAATTATTAGAAGTCATATTTTCCCATAAGACAGTGTTTTCAGATAGAATTAGTGCTTCAGGCCTAAACAAGCATTTTTAAAAAATATTAGACCTTCAATATTGTGTTCTGAAAAGCCACTGCAAATTTAATGATGTGAATGGGATCCTGTTTTTCGATTTTTTTTTTTTTGTCTGCTTTGGTTTTGGGATTTTTACAACATATGTAATGCAGCTGGCAAGTTACTGGTTTAAAAAGCTCAGCAGGACAGGTTCCTAACGCATGCAAATGATACATAGGGATGTTTACTCTGGAGTTCTGTTCTTCCTGATTCCCCCCTAATGACCTTCTTCCCTGATAATCTCACTATTTTACCATGTTTAATCTTTCCACGTAGCCATTTCCATAAGCTGCAGGGTTTGCAAGGGCAGGAGATAGGTTAAAGAATAAACACTTACTACTTTATGAAATGCAAGCGCCTAGTGCTACACTAAACTGTGTCCTGTCACTTGCATGTGCATCCCACCCTGGGAGTTGACACCCTGCCTGAATTCCCCCTTCAGCCTCACTTACAAAGTGTAACAATGGCAGAGATTGACAGAGGCTTCCCATTCCATACTTTTTGTTCCTGGCTGAAGCATGTGGATAGTACCTTTTTACATGGATCAGTGTGTATTGCTGAGGGTGTGGCAGCCAGACTTTTCACTGCTGACATAACCTTGGTGTATTAATCACTGCTGAGACGTCTTGTCATCTTTCCATTTTTCTGTCCTTCACATCATGTTTCCAGTTTCTGGGGCATCCATCAGAAATGGTAGTACTCAGTTTAATTATTAATGAAGTATAGAGGCCAGGTTATAGCAGCAGGTGAAGGAATTTGAATGAAAACATTGGCAACTCAAAATTTGCACAAAAATTCCAAAAACGTATATTTTGGAATTTGGTTAAGTGACTGAAGACTTCGGTGATTTTTATTTTTTCTTCTACCCATTTAGAATTAGCCAGAGCAGTTGTTTTGGCTGCCTGTTATCACTGAATGATTATTTGCAAATCTGACTGAAGCTGCAGTGACCGAAGAAGCTTTTGGTTATGTTGATATGGAAAATGTAAAATTTTATATTATCAAACCTTTCCAAATTTTTAGTACCAAATGGAGGATTATTTTCTCGACATAGAGTATTTTAATGAGTTAAATTAAATGGTCCATTTTATTATAGCCCTTTCTTTGTACCTGTCTCCCCATCTGTCACAGTAAATACAAGCATTGCATGTAGTCAGGGCCATCTGGTATCATTTTCTACTCCTCTGGAGACCTTGGTGCAAACAAATTCCGCTTATTCTCTCTGTAATAGCATCTGCCCATTTTTATTTCTATGAGATACGTGGCAGTAGGTCTAGCAGGTAAATGCTTAAACCAAGTGCTAGCCATGTCCCACTTTCCTTCTGTAAGTTGCCCTAGAAAATCTATAATCTTCTCATCACCTGTTTCTTTTCAGTTAATGATTTCCTAATTGGCAATAGGAATTGGACTAAAGCTGTTACTGATGATCCTCATGTCTTCAGGTACTTCCCCTACTGTTCTAATGCTTTTATTGTACCTTATATAAAGAAGGGAAATATCTCTTTTTCAGCGTCAGTGACAGAGGCAGAGGCAGAAGCTGTGCTGGCATTAACTTAAGGATGGCAGAGCTGTCACACCACAACGGGATTTTTTTATTGTTTTGGCTTGTAAGATGGCTGGGTGTTAAACATGGAAAACCCACTGTTAAGTCCAATGAACTATTTCCAGGTGGAGTATATAAAAGGCTAATCTTACCCAAGAGGCCCAGGAAAACCTCTGTGTTTATTCAGGAACTAGTTCAGAGCCTTCAAGGAGCTTTTGACAGCAGCAGGTGTGTCCATGTGGTATCAGCTGATTGCAGAAAAGAGAGAGATGTGGAATTAATGCTCCTGCTGCTCCCTTTCTGTTCTGTGCTGGCCCTTGGGAAAAGAGGAGGAAAGTGTACTTGTATTCTATTGAGGGTGGAAGGAGTCGAAGTGATTGCAGTGTGGTGGGGGAGTTTATGATGAATATCGGATTCTTTACCACAAATTTCAGATTCCTGTTCGCATCAAACTTATTTTAAAAATATTTTTTTTCCTTACTGTTATATCTCTTAGCAGCCTTGGCTTTCCAGGGAAAAACATTGTGTGGTCATTGCTGTTTACCTTACATGTTTCTCCATGTATGGAACTATAATTTTAATGTCTTTTTTCCAAACCATTTGTACACAAAATCATTCCATGAATGGCTGCCTTATAATTTTTCCACTTAAATTGTGAATGGTTAAAATAATATTGCCGTTTTCAATTTGTTTTATTATATTAAATTTTTACTAGGTGCAGTGTTTTGGAGTTGGCTTTTCATTTATTGCATGGGATTTTGTGACAGCTCTAAGGAAAAGAATGAGTTTCAAATGGTATGCAAGTATTGCAGACAGCATTTTATTTTTATGAGAATTTGTTTGCTGCTTTTCTTCATGATGTCTGAGCACCTCTTGCAAACCTGGAATGTGACACTGCATGTTGGGCGGCAGTGTAGCCGGTGGATTTGGATATGGCTCTGAATGTGTTCAGAGATATTAATGCAGAGTTGATGTGACAGCTCTGCTTGAGTTGGGCATTTGGCAACTTGTGTCTCTCTCAGAGTGTTTAGGGGCTGGCATTGCCCTGAAGCTATCTCCTCCTGCACCTCCAGGGAAATCTCTGGAGCTTACAAGGCTGAGACATCTTTGGAGGGTAGCAAAGAGATGATGGCTCCAGACCACTTTTAAAAGGCTTGAGGACCCTTTGGAGGTAAAGGAAATAATCTTTTTTCCATCCTGTGCTCTCAAACTCGTCAGTCCCAAACCAAAAACGCAGACACTAAGTCTGGCTCCATCCCCTTTGCACCCTTCTCTCAAGTATTTGTATACATTGATGAGATTCCTCTTAGAGCTGCTGAGTTTGGCATAGTGTATAGATGTTCTCCATACTTTTCAGCTGCCTGCTAAGCGGGACTGGGATTTAGACTTGCATTTTCAGAGAAGAGAAAGGGGAATGGTGCTGTTATAGGATGCGTGATGAATGCATTTACAAACTTCATGCATCCATTTAAGAGGTAGCACTTGATGGAGATGGTTTATAAGCAGTTCATTAAAAAAATGGATTTATGTTTTTCTGCTGTGCTTGCTGTCTACAGACTTGCCTAAGATCCTGTCACACACTGTTTTAGCTCTTTGACTCAAGCAATAAGCAATCCTCTCAGCTGGTTGCTTGATTTGATTCTTCTGATAGTTCATAGGACTTGTGTAATAGGATAGTTTGTAGTACTTAAGAAAGTGTAATCTCTTTATACTGGCTTAAGCACAATAGAATATGATTCATGTAAGGTCAGTAGGAGAACTGAAGCAAACGACAGAAGTGCTGCTAAAGCTGGTACAAGCAAATGTAAAGCAGTAAGAAGGGAAAGCCAGTATTTTTCCCAGGCAGGCTCATGTTTTTTTTGGCAAGTAAAACTCAGCTTTAATGGTAAAGCATTATGCAGTACATTAGCATTCTTTTAGTGTATTTAGTCAATATGTTACCTCAGTAACTGGAGATTTAATCACTGTAGTCTGTGGTAAATCCTTTTGGAGATGTGAGGAAGTGCTTTGGGTGCATTTATGTTACAAACTTAAATTTAGGAGCTGTGGTGTTGCAGGCTTCCTGATGATTGTTGTAGAGTGTTCCTTCATTTGTTAAGGAAATAAAAATGTACATCAGCATTTTTATGAGCGACTCATCAGGGATGAGCATGGCACCAAGATGATGAGCTGTCATCTATTGTTCCAGCTGACAAATTAAGCCATTCTACTGGTACTTGCAAGCCTTATCCAAGTATCCCTGCAGGCAGAATAGCACAACATTCCACCCTCCTTATCACAGCACTTCTCTCTCTTGTCTGTGATGTTGAGAGATTAACAGTCTGTTATTGTGGATGGGGGTTAAAGAAAAATGCCTTGTTCTGAAAAACTTGTAGGCCTAATAAAAATTAAGCTGTGTCATGCTGACTGACACCAAATCTACATAGTATTTGGAAAATCTAAAAGCAGAATGAAATTATTACGGGGAAAGTGCTTATCCTGTATCTGTGTGCCCAACCAGTATCTGAGATGGTAGTTAACCTATGATCTATGATTATAGTTATGTTAGGGTCTGTGGAGTTTAATGGGTTTCTGCTGTCTGAAGTAGCACTTTCAGTGAGATACTCCTGGTTACACAGGGTTGAAGAGGCCTGCTAAGAGTCCTGCTTACAAGCCTTACTAGTACTCCAGGTGAGTCTTACTATTGCACCTCTTACTCAAGCATTTTGTGCCCTCAGAGGGTGATGCTATTGGTAGAATGAGTCAAGTTTTAAGATTGCAATGGATTTCCCATGTTCTGTTGTCTCTTTTTGACAGAGAGGTGACTGATCTTGATAAAAACTTTGTACCTTGTGATATCTCCTCTGTGCAGACACTTCATGTGAAGTTGACTGAGTACAAGTGGATGACTAGGCAGTGGATCTGGGAGCTTTTCCATGTTTATCCATACAATCTAAACTTCAGCATTATGAAAGAAGTGTCATCTACAAAAGCTGTGTGGCAGCATGGCTCATGGGAATATAAAAGGAGATGGCACTCTTAGTCTGCTGTATGTTGTAGAGAGCAAAGTCTTCGATGCCCTTCCTTGCCAGACATTTTATCTTTCATTTGTCTGCTGTCTCTCCTCATCATTGCAGGGTTTGTAATACAGCTGTCATGGTCTGCTGCTGTGATAGATGGCAGCAGTAGATCTTTGTGCCTCTGTACTTAGATAACCACTTGAAAATGTGGATAGAGAAGGGGCAAGAGGTGTCTTGTGCCTGCCCTGTGTATGTGTGCAGCAGGAATCCTGACCTTGCTGTGACTGGCTGGATAAGCAGGACCAGGAAAAAGGAACTTGAAGTGGTGGCTGCTGCAACTAGAGGGGTATTGCACAATGTATAGGGGAAAGGTGTGAAGAACACTGGTGGTGTGGTCCCTGCAGTTTCCACTCCTGAATGAAGTCCTAATTGTAATGTCTGTACTTTTTAAGGCCTTGTCTTCAGTGATCACAGCAATGGTAGGTGTAAAGGAAGCACCGAATGCACATGCAAGATAAATTGTGGTCTCTGTGTGCATGTGCAAGGTATTTTACAAACTTAATATTAAATAAAAACAGGGGTTGGTCAGTTCTGTTTTCCTGGATATGTATTTATTGTTTAAAAGTTAAATTTCTTGTGAATGTCCTTCTTTTGATCAAAGGGAACAAATTGGGTAGAAATTGGTGGACTGCAACCAATAATGAAACCTTTGCACCTTGTGGGTCGAAATCCAGCAGCTAACCTGTTTTTAGAAATTTGGAGAATTCAGATATACTAGCTGGTGTTGAAACAGCTAAAGAGTGTGTTTTCCCATAATGGGCAGCCCTGGATCTCATTTGCTCTTTGCGGGACTGTTTTGTTAGATCTGAAATGTGCTGGTGGTTCTCTGGTTGTTGGCCTGTCTTAATACGTAGAAGTATTATATTTCCCCCTCCATTGTTCTGCCAAAGATTCTTGCTTCAGTAAACTGGTATCTTATTTTCTGTCTTCCTCTAAGTCTCTCGAAGTGGTGCTATATCCACAGCAAATAGTTGGATTAGCTGTCACTCCTGGGCCATCCAGCATGGATCAAGTGTGTTTGAAGGGCTGGGACTGGTGAAGAGCTTTGGCTGGAACAGGTCACTGAAACCATGTAGTTCTTACCCAGGGATGATGTTAAATCCCTTGGGGTTACACATCTCTAAGGGTGATGTTTGATGGGGTTGCAAATCTACAGAGGCACTTGACTTTAATGTCATTTAACTTTTCTTTGAGTTCTGCAGAACAGGTCAGACTTTCCATCTGACACTGAAAATTTAATCATTGTGCAAAAGAAACATGTTGTGTTGTGTATCTCACTAGGGGTGCATGGATGGTAGCTGCTTTTCTACTTAAAATAGCCTCTGCACACTGCTGTGCACCTAGGAAGCTGCAGCATCATTTTGGGGAGTGCATGTGAGATTTTGTCTTTGCAAGAATGATGTATCATAAATGAAACTGGAGCTGGACTTCTCTACATTTGGTACCTGCTAATAACTCCCATAATTGCTAATGTTTCTCAGGGTTTAAAATGGCTATGGAACCTATCAGAAGCTGTAAAAGCAAAGGGATTCTGCCTTACTGGAAGGTAAGATCTGAATCTCTCCAACTCTGCAGCAGCTCTGATCCATTTCAACTTACTGGCCCCAGCCCAAGAAGCAGTTTGTTCTTTTCTGCATGGCACAGTATTGTCAGGCTGTCCAGAACAGGAAGGTGTAACTTTTCACTTAAAAAAAAAACAAAACAAAACAAAAAAAACAAAACACTGCCAAAAAAACCAAGCCTCCTTAGCAGCTGAAGTTAGCCTATATGTGTCTCCTTAAACTGAAAGGGAGCATCTTTGAGCCGGAGGGTGGCCTGTGATGAAGGCACATGGGATAATTATTGGGCAGTTCCTATGCAGGGTTAAGAGTTGGACTTGAGGCTCCTTGTAGGTCCTTTCCGACTCAGGACATTCTGTTAAGAAGGGTTACTTCTGTATAGCTTGCACTGCTGTCTGCTGCAAATGTTTATTTTTAGCAAAATTTTATTGGCTTGATTTGTAGGAAAAATAAAGGCAACATATTAGTAAAATAATTGCCATACCAGTGCAGCCTGTTGCTCCAAAGAAAGGTTTTCTGATTAAAGGTCCAGTGCCGTCTCTCAAGGATGTACAGAAGTGTTTCCCCTTCATTAGCTTAGTACACGCTTAAAGGAAATGTTAAAAGAGCCATGGTTACTACAAATTACTGTGTCCAGACACCAGCAGTTAAAAATTCACCTTGCTGCTATCTGCTGCCCTAGCCTTGCTGGTCTGTCACTTGTCAAAAGTGAGTTGCTCTTTCTCTCCCCTGGCCTGTTGACTTTAAAGAACTTGCTGTAGCTACTCTGTGTCTTGCTTGTCTTACAGGCCTCCAGAGGAAAAAAAATCTCACTTTTTGATGTTCAAGCTAGAAACCTCTTTACTCTCTTAGTCTGTATAAGTTAAAAATAAGAAAGAATGAAATATAAGTAAAGGGTGAAAACCTGTCTCCTCACGGCAAATCACTGCTGTCAGATCTTTGCACTCTTGGTGCAGTGCAACAGCAGGGGCACTGGATCATCTTTATATGGGAGCACTATGGCTTTTCACTGGACATTTATACAGTTAAGTGAGGCCGAAGGGCTCAGAATAATTTTTACCCTTTGTGCAACATAATTCGAGGGAAAATTTTCCTTCTCCTGGTTATGAGTAGTGTACAGAATGGCATCTGTGGTATTAATGCTTCTCTTCTGCAATGCAGTATTATATTCAAGAGTTAAAGCTCAGGTGAGATGGAGGCAGTATCTGCTGCTCTCTTCTCCACCCTCTGCCTTAATGTCACTCTGTAATGGGACATATCCTGCTGCTTGGGGCATGTCCTGTCTGGGACCAAAAGATTGGTGAAAGCCAGGGTGAGAGAAAGTAACAAATCATGGAGTTTGCTGGCTCTCTCATCTGTTGATCAACAGTGACTTTTATCAGGGACCTGCATCTCTAATTTCTCTAATACTGAATGCAGCCTGTGAGCCTGGGGCAGGCTGTCTGCATCTCCTTTCTTTAAGATGCTCTCCAAGTGCCTCTTACTGTATTAAAGCTAAGTGAGCCTGTGCCCTGTGGTGTGACCAGCCTGTAGCACATCCCGGGTTTCTGATCGGGGATGGGGAAGGATCATGTATCTGCACTGCGTTTCTTCCGAACAACTGCATTGGGAATGGCTGACATCCAGCAATTACAGCATCAGAATCTATTCACAGATTTTGGGGATGGGGATGGGGATGGCACAGGTTTAATCAGGAGCAGATACCTCAGCATATATGGCCTACAGGCCATACAACATGTACGTATCTCTATTGGTTATAGGATATCCCAAAACTTCAGATGCTTTAGCAGCTGGGATTCTTCCCTAAATTCTAATCCTGGAAGGGAGGCAGGATGCAGTAAAGAATGATATGAGGCTATAATGGCTTTCCTGTGGGCATTGCAAAAAACAGGTTCTTTTGGAGAACTGTGTATCTGTACAGGGAGAAGGGGTTTCAAGAGAGAAACAAGAACATAGGGAACCAGATTAAAAAGCTTGCTGTGGGAATACTAAGCAGGAGATGAACATGGACCTGAGCTGTGTGACACATTCCTCTGTTTCTGTGTTGGGGCCAAGAAGGAGCTGGTACCTAAGAGGCTGAGTAGAGGCTGTTCTTGCCACCTCTCCAAGATGCAGCAAAGCATGAAGGCAGGCAGAATTTTATGCTCTAACTTTGATCAGCAGTGGCCCTTTAAAGCAGAGCAAGGTGTGCAGTATGGACACTGCCCAATCCAAACCCAGCAGCCACGTGAACTCTTCCCTGGTGGGCAGTGCCAGGCTGGCACAGCAAGGCTCCCTCACCCTCCCCAATGACGGAGTCTGATTGAACTTGCTGGCTCCCACTCGCTCTGCCCCAGTTTTCCTCAGGACAAATGAGAAGCACTACTCTCCAAGTGCAAGATTTTGGGAATATGTGTCAGAGATGCCTGTCAGTAAAACATCCATCTTGCCCTAATTTCTGCATGGAGTGCTGCAATGTCGAGTGAAATAACCTTCCAAGCTGGCTCTGGTGCAGAGGTATTTTGGCTTATGTTATTGCTGAGAGCTTTCTTTCTGATGAGCTCTTTCTGCCTCTCTGTGTTTCTGATGTCTGACTCTCTTCACTCTTCTTTTTCCCTTGGGCTGGGATGTGTGCTGTTTGCAATGCATCAGGAAGTAATACGCAATGAGAAAACTCTCATCATCTGTGCATCAGGGAGAGAATTACTGACTGAGTGCTGAGCAGTCAAGTTATTGATTCAAACCAAAGCCCAGTCTCTCTGTCTGCTGGGCTGGTTACATCCTGCTGGTTCACTGCATTTAATCGGATTCCCCAAGCTGCCACGCAGAGGGGGCAAGTTAGAGCCAGATCCATCTATAATGTTCGCCTCAAAATCCAGCTCTGTGTCCCCTTCTCCGTCCATGGAACAGGCAGATTCCGATGCTCTGGACATCAGCACCAAAGTGCAGCTGTATGGTGTGCTCTGGAAGAGACCCTTTGGGAGGCAGTCGGCCAAATGGTCCAGGAGGTAAGTCACAGTTATGAGGGATGCTCGGGTGGAACACAAAGCCTAAGGGTTCTGGGGTAAGTTAGAGACTGAGTGCTTGACCCTTCCAGTGCAGCCAGCCAGGCAGAGGCTGGGATAAAACTTGGGGCATAGCTTCCCTGCTGTTCTGAGTCTGCTCTACACACGTGGCTCCCCATTGTGCTCTCTTCCTTATCTGTCCAGACCTTGTACTATGTGCACTTCAGGGTGGTAATAGAGACTAGCTGCCTCCTCTGAATAATTATAATCCTTTCATGAAAGGGGAAGAGTCTGTTCATGTATTTTGCCTCTAAACTGCCTGACCTTTTTGTTTTGAGACTCAAAGCTCTTTGAGTCCTTTGGGTGTGAGATGGCAGGGCTGAGCTGACTGCATGTGGGTCTGTAGTGTGTGTGTGTGGTCTGCAAGGGTCTGTGCACAGCTCCAGTACTGCTGTGCTGCCTGACAGTGACAGCATGCTGGGAACAGCACATGCAGACTTTTCCCAGGGGAGAAGGTGGCTCTGAATTCTCTCTCATCTGGTGTTAGGGAGTTGTAAGCTGCTGTTGTTTATCAGCAGCCGGGAAGTTTGGTGCTGGAAAGCATTTGCTCTAACCTTTAACCAAGGACAGAAATATGTTCTATAATACTGAGGTGGTGGGTTGGCTTTAAGTTTAGAGTTAGTGTAGTTTCTTAATGCAAATCACTGAATCTCTCACACTTACCTTTTGTGGGTAAGTACCTTTGCTGCAGTCTGCAGTGTAGATACAAAAAATCCATTTCTAAACTCAGTTTTCCCAGCTTTGCTATCTGTAGTAACCATAGTGCTGCACAGTCTGTGAAGATGGCATAGCCTGAAAAAAAGTTATTTGGAAAGCAGTTTTGTATTTGTAGCAGTCTTTGACCTATCCCTCCTGTGCCAAGAACAGCCTATTTTCACCCAGAAAAGAATTTGTGCTGATGCTCCCTACTCAGCTCCCAAATATTGATAAATAAATTAATTATGTCTGGAAACTAATGTGATTGTTTTATGGAAAAGAAGTGGACAGAATAACAGAGGGGAAGGTAATTTGCCATGGAGGAGACATTCTTAAAAGGCTCTCCCTAATAAAAATTTCTTGCAGGCAAATGGCCCATCTCTGTTCCCTTTGTCATTATTTATTTAGTGCTGCTCTATTCCTAGAAGTCACCCCCATCTTCAGCAAGTGGTAAATATTTTAGTGATAGCAGCTGGGAACAGAAGGGGAGGTGACTGTGGGACAGGGATGATGTGGAAGATTAGTTGCAAGCGCAGCAGCTGAGGGTCCTGGGGGACCAGGCACAGGTCAGTTAGAGTTGAATGTGGAATCTGTAGGGTTTGGAAGGCAGTGGGTACTGGGGTAAAAAGACTTGAACAGGAGGAACAATGTGTTTTTGGTTTGTTTGTTTTATCATGGGAGAGTCTTGCTTTAAAGTAAAATAACCTTGCATGGTATTATAACAAATCATTATGGGGAGATAAGGAGAAACCAATTCATTTCCCCCTCTGTCTCCCCATGCCCAGCAACACATAACTGGTCAAGTACATTTTTTTATGAAAAGGAGGAGAGATGTTTCCCAGTCCAGTTAAATAAAGAAAAAAGATTGACTATATCTGGATATCATTGATGACCTGGTCTCTGATAAATGTAGGTTTTGTCCTGAAATCTTGGACAACAGTACTACTTCCACTCCCAAAGAAGGTCTTTCCAAGATATGGGAGATAAGACTGTGTGTAAGGGAGGATTGATCTCATCATGCCATCAGCCCACATAGACCTATCAGAGGATCAGAGGATGGGTCTGTGTGGAAGATACATGATATTAACTGGCTTGATTCCATTCATATGGCTGTAGCAGCAATATTTCTGGAGAAACTGAGAGAAAAGCAAGTGTTTCGGGGAAGGATGGAATCTGACTAGATATCAGTTCAAGGAAAAAGTGTCCAGGCATGGTGTCCAGTACTTTGGTGATGGAAATCCCAGGTTTTGAAATTTCACAGCAGTAGAGGTTATGCAGGGAGAAGGGAGGGATAGTAGAGCCTTCTTTTAGTCAGGGCCAAATCTGATGGCACCTGTGGAGACAGCTGAACTTGACCTGGGGCAGCTGTCTGGAGCATTTTCAGTCCTTTCTTTTGCCCATACAATGGTCTGCTCTGAAGCCCAAATATAATATTTGCATGCTGCCTTGGGTACTGTCCAAGAGTGGGATGGATGCTTCTGGACCAGTGTGGCTGTGTTTATCTGCCAGGGCTGACATCTGAGCTTGGTGCCTTTCAGAACTTGATTTTTAAAATGCCATTAGCAGCATTCTAATGCCTATCCCTTAAAGAAAGGGAGGTCTATTACTAATGTGAATTTTCTTTCCTTGTAAAATAATATCCTTCCAACAGAGAAGCACCTGACTTCTGAGTTTAGTGGTGCAGTCTAAGCTTGGATCACTGCTGAAGTGGCTTTGGAAAATCATAGTCTCAGTCCCTGATTAATGGTTGTCCTCTTCTGAAAAACTGCACCCCATTCTTCCTTCCAATGCCCAACAAGCTATTTAGTATCTCTTACTACAAAAGTTTTACTGGTAATGGCACCAACCTGGCACAGAGGCTGGAGTGAATGGCTAATGTGTGTACCTGCCCTGGATATGGCATGAATAGGGTGCTGTAACTTTCCAGGACAGAAGTGGCACATCCTTCTTTACCATGAATAATCCCAGTCCCATATAGAAATGTCAGGCTCTAAACTCCCACCGTCCATGTCTGAGACTTTGGGGTTCAATGGGACAGTGAAGGGACATCCCTTTGGTGGACAATTGAACATCAGAAAAGCAAGGTGAAGCACAAGAAGAGAGAGAGCAAAACGCAAAATATGCCTATATTGCTCCACAAATCGGTCAGATATGTCAGGTTGGAAGGGGGGGGGGGGGGGGGGGGGGGGAAGCACATCAAGTTAAGAGATTATTTTTTGTCTTTTCTTGAACCAATCCTGTCTGTGGCATTGCAAAGCAGGCACATAACCTTGTTTTCCACAGCGGCTACTAACAGTCACTGCGTGTGTTCACAGGACGGATGGAAAAGCTCATTGTTCAGGGCTGCTTTCTGCTCGGAGCCCCGGGAATGCCGCAGAGCAGCGTGCTGTGCAGCTCCGGGCGGCAGGAGCTGCCGGGACAGCGGGGCTGCGGAGCCCGGGCTCCCTCTGCTCCCGCAGCCTTCCCCTCGCGCTGCCCGCCGGCGGGGGCGCCCCGAGCCCCGCCCGGCCCGGCGCGGCGCGCTCCGCCGGCCGCGGGACAGGCAGGGCGAGCGGCCGGTACTGCCCGCTCTAAAACATCACTGCCCTTCGCTGTCCCGAGCTACCCCCGGGGACAGAGCGCTCGGCTGATCTCGTAAACGGGGCTTGTCCCTTGTGCTCCTGGCCCAGAGCAACGCCATCAGAATAAAGGAGCAGGGAGCTGCTGCAGTTTATAGTGTAACTACTTCATCTGGGCCATTGTCATGTCAAGAACTTGTACAAAGATTAGCTAATTAACTTCATTAGCCCTCTGTGATTCAAAGAGCACTTATTCCACAGAGATCAGGTATCTCAATTTGTCCAGTACAGAGCTGCTGTTTGTGCTTTGCATCTGAGTCTCTCAAATTGTCACGATTCCTCTGCTATTCTGGTTTAATTACACTGTGGTTTCAGTGGTTCCTTACTGCAGGATCCGGCAGCAGGGATGGGTGACCAGAGCAGCTGACCACATGAATGGCTCTTGTATTACCTGTGCTGCCTGTGGAGTGTGGCTGTGCCAGCCTGTCTCGCTTCTCACACTTTTGCTGCTGTTCTGAAGGTTTTGAACTCTATGTTTTTAAATAGCTTCTTTTTTGGGTCCTTGTTTGTATTAAAAATTTCCCCTGCTTTTACAGCACTCCCTTTTCTCTTGCTGCCACATCTGTGCCTAATTCAGACACATGTTGTGTCTCCAGTCCTCCAATCACAGTCCTAATGGGGTATCTCTCTGCATTCTCCCTTGACTATCTTTTCCCTTTCTGCTCTTACTCACCTAGCTGCTGCTTAAGTTTTCAACCTGCTCTTGAATCTTGTAACACTCTCCTCTATTATTTTACTTCATCCCTCTTTTCACCATGCTGCATTAATTGCCCCTGAATTCTTGCATTGACACTTTGTCCTGAAGGTCATTTAAAGTGATGGTCTTGATTGCTCTGGTGTTGCTTTCCAGGTAAGGATAGATGAGGGAATATGATCTGAGCATAAATACATTATGTGCACAAGCTAACCAGATTTTCAATGTTTTTCCTTCATTACTTGCAATGGGATTTTGTTATTACTATTTTTTAAACTCTAATTTTATATATTTTAATTCCAAATTCCCATATTTTCTCTCCACATCTGTGAGGTCAGGGATCTAAAAGTTCATTTATCTGTGAGAGACACATCGATTTTCAGAGATTTGTGCTGTATTTTGTTCTTATTTTTGCTTTGATTTTGGTTTCCATTGAAGCATAATCTATAATATGAGAATTGTCAGCACTGAGCGATAAGAAGTATTTAACAAACTAAACCCTGGTTTTAACTGGTGTTAACATTTAGATTACAAAAATCACACAGAGTTAAAGATCAATATCTTTACCTGTCTGGAAAATGTTTCTTGAGATTAGTCAGACTGAAAAGAGTGCTGAAAGTGATAATTTGACTTTCTCTGTTTCATGTGGTGTTTTGACTTTTGGCATCTCTAGATTCATACTTGTACCCACAGTCTCTGGCTCCCTGGACTCACTGGACCAAGCACAGGCCATTGGGCAGGCAGGTTTGTTGTTTTAGGATGTTATTTTTGTATTTATTGTGCAGATAAGGCAACATTTCTCTCTAAAAAAAAATGAAGTCCTCCTTAAACTAAGCATAGAGTTGGAGAAAAAACAAAGATGAAGCTACTCAAAGGAAAACTTTCTTATAGAGTTAATGACCAGAGATGTGAGGAAAAAAATCAGGAAGGCACAAGGCTGCTATTCACAGAAGTGATGTGGATAGGAGGAACCAGGAACAAGCCTTGTCTGCTCTCTGGAGGTCTCTGATGTCTGCCTTAGCAAAGTGCCTGCTTCTCCCCACCTCTGATGTCAACATGAATAGATGAGAGGGCAAGGAGAGGAAAAAAATTGGGGAACAATAACTGCCGCTGGCATTTGTACATTCTGAAGATTTCTGGATGTAAATATGCACCTGTTCAATGACTGGCACTTTCAAACACAAAAAGTGGTCCAGAGCTTGAGTTTCCTGCAGACTTTGATAAGTTTAGCTTTGTTCTGCATTTATTTATTGCCCCAAGAGCCCATGGTCTCTATTTCCATGGCATTTGGCAGTTTCATCTGGGTTGCCAGAGCCATAGAGAAGAGCAAGAGACAGAAGCTGATGGAAGTAGTAAAGTTTTCATCTAAGTAAAATAATAATAATAATTATTAAAAATTATATAAATTTTTAATTATTATGATAATTCTCTGCCAGCTTCAACATCTTTCTTTGGTTTTTGAAACTAAACTGGTACCAGATTGCTGTACTCATCTGTACTGGAGGCAGGAGTTTGCTCCATCTGACAACCCATCCATTTCAGGAGAGGACTGAGGGGAGATGGGGGCACATGAAGGCATTGGATTTGTCCTTGTGGATCAGCTCCTTTGGCCTGTAGCCCATTACTGATGGTGGCTTCAAGGAAAGGTGCAGCAATGCCCAGTCTGCACAAGTGGGCAGCACTGCCTGTAGAGGTCTTCTCTTATTCCTTCCCAGAAACAGGAGGGTTTCTTGGGAATGTTCTTATTATTCACATAAGCCTTATCCTTTGCAGTTTCCTCGTGATCTCTTGTCCTCAGGACCACATGAAAGTGACTTACACAGCTGTGTTTTGTGAAGTGTAAAAAGGCATTTTAAAATGATTTTCACCTTCTAACCTTTCACTTTCTTCCCAAATCTCACTTTCTCATGTCAGAAAATATGTACAGAACAGAGCAATACATTTTCTTTGGCATTTACTCTTCTGAAACCTCCCTACTACACTTGTCCCCATTTTTTTTTCAGCTGCTCTTCATAGTTTTTGAGTGCTGCAGAGATTAAGACCAAATTGGAATTAAGTCAGGTATCTCTCCCCTGTACCACTGCCTGCAGAGTATGTACAACCTCAATTTTTGAAGAGAGGAGGGACCCTCCCAGGGGCATTTCAAAAATCCAAATAAGTTAAAGGTGGCAGTCCTTTAATCATAATTTTGGGGGCACACTCCAGTAAGGTAGAGGCTTGGCTTGCAGAAGCCGTAATATTTTGTGGTTACTATACAATGATCACCAGAGCATACTTAAGGCTAACTGAGCAGAACAAGGCCTATTTTAATGTTACACATATGAGAAAAAAAAATTCAATTTCCTCTGTAGTTGTGAAGGTCAGTGACAGGAGAGTTTGCCAGGTGCTCTGCTTAAAAATAACTTTCAAATTTATTTCTGCTCCTCAGTACTTTGGTGGCCAATTTTTGCCTCAATAGTCGCTTGGGGATGCTAGGCTGTGATTCTTTGTTAGACTGGAAACACTTCCCTCTGGCTTATGCTGAGATGGGAGGGAAGAGGGTGGCAGGCAACATATTGCAAAATAAGCATTTAGTTGGTCTTAGCCCATGCAAGAGACCCTTGAATTAAAAGAGCAGCTCTCTCCAATAGGTTGAATTCAACACATGATCTAGAGAGGGCACACATGTAGAGATGGCAAAAGTCTGTGGTCCTGTCTGGGACACAGAGTGCTGTCCCAGTGCCCTGAGAGCAGGTGTTCTGCCCTCAGCTCTGGTGGGTGCCTGCTGGGGGTCCTGCAACACAAAGTACCTCAGCTTGGCACTTGCTGTTAAGCACGAGCTCTTGGCTGTGAGCAGAAGTGAGGCACCTCACCTTAGTCTTAGGTGGGAGTGGTAAACTCTCCTGCTGAGAAAGCAGCTTTAGTTAGGTAGGATTTTCTTGTGCTGTGAACCACAACCTCCATTTCACCAGCATTTCCCTTCTCTGTCTTAAAGGTTCTTCATCATTAAGGAAAGCTTCCTGCTGTACTATGCTGAGAGTGAGAAGAAGAGTTTTGAAAGTAATAAGTACTTCAATATCCATCCCAAGGTGAGCACTGTTTGCCCAAGGAGGGAGCTATGCTGCTTCTAGCATTCCCCTCCCTTCCTCCATGGGCCCATCAGGTGATGAAGAGCTAAGTCCCAGTAAGCCCAGATATCTCACAGGTTCAGGGAAGCTCCAAAAGAGGAGGAATCATGTTGGTACCTTTTCAGGATATTCAATGATTCAGCAGGCATATGGCCTCTTTTTTGTTTTTTGTTTTTTACCTGATAGTAGATATATTCCCTTATTTTCATGATTTAATCAACTAATCTTGTGGCTATAAAAATAATGTTGGCAAAGCCAGTGGTGGGGCTAGGGGCTCCATGTGGCTCTTGTTCCTAACCTGTCCTTGCACTTGGCAGCAGCTGGTGGCCACCTGCCCTCAGTACCTGAGTGGCCACTGGAGCTCTGCTGCCTGGAGCCCCACAGGGGACCCTGGGCTCCGAGCTGCTTTTGTGCTCTGCAGTCACTGCAGGCTGATGTAGCACGTGAGCTTCCAAAGGTGCTGATTTCACCCATCCTGGCTGGCACAGCCAGCTGTCTGCCTGCCCCCCACAGCACGTGTGGGGTTTGTTGTTTTTTGGGTTTTTTTGGTTTTTTTTTTTTTTTTTTTTTTTTTTTTTTTTTTTTTTTACAGTGACTGTAATGAATGCACAGCCTCTCTCATGATACCACACTGAATCTGCAACGTTTGCCCCCAATGGAGATCACTTCCTCCTTGATGGAACAGTTTCTGCTTCCATGTTCTAGCTAACAGCTTTCCCTCATTGCTGAAGACAGGACTGCCATCTTTACCCCCTTCCAGATACTGGCTGAGGGTTTCCTGGTGGAAATGAGAGTCCCTCTGCTTTGCAGGAACTGTGTGTATTGCCCCTCCTGGGGTAGCCAAGGCCATGGGCCAACAAAGTGACTGAGAGTAAAAGTTCAGCTCCTAGTTAGTTAATAGTTCTGCTTGATTTTTCTGACTGATTAGAGTGCTCTGGTTTATCTCCAGGGTGTCATACCCCTGGGAGGCTGCATTGTGGAGCCCAAAGAAGAGGCCAACATGCCTTATGCCATAAGGATCTCTCATGAAGACTTCCATGTAAGTAGAGTTATTTTCTTCTAAAAAGCTCCAAACACCACAGAACAGGTTAATGCTGATGAGCAGAGCTGGACTGGCAGACTTTTCCCTCCCCACCAAGGTATGCCTACCCTCTCTGGACAGACTATCCTGAGAGCAAGGGTGACTTAGCATTCAAGTCCCCTCAAGACTGTATGGAAACCAACAAGGAAACTTGCACTTTCTGGCACCAGGTTTTATGATTCTAGCAGGCCAGTGGACAGATTCTCAGGAGCCCTAGAGCCCATGCTGCCCTATCAGGCTTATTCCTGCTGTGGCTGTTTGCTGTGTGCACACTTCCCGGTGTGTGGTAGGCCTGGGTTGTATTTGCTCCCGTGTCATGCTCCTTGTGGAGGTGGAAGGCTATGGTGGGCTCTCCTCCCACCACAGCTGTGTCCAGTTCATGCCAGGAGTGCACAGAGGTGCAGAAGGCACCAGCCTCTCTAATCTGGGTTTTTTTCCCCTCCCCTCCCCTCTTCCAGGGTAACATTGTTCTAGCAGCTGAATCAGAGTTTGAGCAGGCTCAGTGGCTGGAGATGCTACAGGAGTCTGGAAAAGTGTAAGCTTCTTTCTATTCCTTATTTGCTTTGATCTGCTCTGTAGGTGTATAAAGGATAAAAAGAGAGAAGCCTGACTAGAAGGGCTATGGGGAGTCAGACAAGCTCCTGAAAATCAGTGATAGCTTTACTTGCCTCCTGGACCCATCCTTACTCTAAAGGGGAGTGCTCTAAAACTGATGCAAAGCTTCCCACCTTGTTGTGCAGCGTGTGTGCAGTGTGTCTCTCTCCTCACCAGTCCAGGCTGTCATCTGCCAAGTGCTGATACACTGAGTTTCATCTGCTATCCTTCTCTTGTGCCTCAGAGAAGTGGGACCTGGATCTGAGTGGGAGCCCTCCTGGTCCATTTTGTGTGGGAAGCAAGGTTTGCAGGCTTGATGGAAGTGGGGGTGAGACAACTTCTCCATATGAATTTGGGGTAAAGTAAGAGCAGAACAGGCAAGACATGAAGCTAGTGAGCAGCTGCCCATGTGGCTCTATGTCCTGCTATGAGCAGGGACCTCACCCAGCACAGTTCTGATCAGTAACAGTAATCGTGCTGCAGTTCTGTGTCCATGGGATGTGCATTCTGCTGCCCAGATCTGTGGGTGCCCAGGACATGGAGCAGCAGGATTTGGCCTCTCGAAACAGTTTAATTGTGAAATGCAGAGGCAGCCTAAATCCCAGCAGAGGCAGTGTTAGCAAAGCATTTCCAGCCCACCTGCAGGGGTGAGAGAGTTTGATTGCTGTGTGCATTCAGTTCTGGTTCCCACTCTGCTGAGAATCCTGGACAGAGATTTGCGATGGGTTGGCCTCCAGCTCTGCACTCCCCCAGCACCCAGGAGCCTGACAGTCCAATGAGCAGCTGTCCTGCAAAGCCAGAGCAGGCTCCTTCTAAATCTCAGCAGATGCAGGAAGAGATAACACTAAAACAGGGATTTGACTTTCCCAAATGAGATATAGAAACTTCCTGGGTTTGTAGGGCAGAGCCTACCATTCAGTTCTGAGGCTTACAGCAATGAGCATTTTGCTCTGCCCTTCTTGGCTGCATTACAACATGTGTGGTCTCTCATCACTGTGGGGGCAGAAACTGTTTAACTTGTAATACCGCATGCTAAGGCAATATCTCAGTTCATTTCAATCTTGTGAGGCTCAAAATGTAGATTTGTAATTAATGGGGTGCTGAATGTTTGGTGGATCAACCCAAGTCAAGCGCTATGCTGCAAGCTCTGTGTTTGGCTGTGGCTCTGGGGTAAGCTGTTACCTCTGTGGCAGTGTATGAACTGCAACACACAGCTGCCCATTGAAGTTTCATGGGAGCAGGAGTCCTGTAAGACACAAGACCCAAGGCAGAGGTCTGCCACCCCCTTGGCTTGAGCAGCCTTGGCCACTGCAGAGTAGAAGTGACAGACACAGTCAGCCCTTGAGCAATTTGGAGATTTTTATTGAATAGCACAGGTCCGCATTTGCCTTTGCCAATGTTAAAATCAACTATTGCCAAGGGCAATAATTTGGAGCTGAGTTCATCTTTCAGGTGTGTATGGGAGGGAAGGAGGGAGGCAGCACAACTCAGAATGGGTACACACAAGTAAGCCCTGCACTGCTGCATTTGTCACAGAGCCAGCCTTTTCTCTAGCCCGTGTTTTCATATTCCAGCAGTAGCATTTAAAACAGAAGCTAGAAGTGGCTGCTATCATACAGCAGACCACCTGCACCTAGTGGGAAAACTGCCTGAGACACCTTTTCTCCCCTCTGTGCTTCTGTTTCTGCATCAGAGAGTGGAGCAGCTCCAGTGCCAGTCTCATCAGTGCTGATACTAGCCTGCATGTGAGGAAAAGCACCGATTATGTGATTTAACAGGGTCAGGTTGGGAGTTCAGCAGTCAAAAAGGCCAGCATGGGCCAATACATCGATCTGCAGTGGATAGAAAAGTTGGAAGAATACAGCTGAATTATTCTAGGTAATCTGTTATAATGTTCTTTTGTTCCTAGATGGAGATTATACTGCCAGTGGCACCACACCACTGCAATCATCCTGCTGTTTTCATAATTATATAAAGTTGACAAAACACCCACAAACAAACAACTTTAAAAGGGGAAAAAAAAAAATCCCAACCCCAAAACAAACTCCACAGACTGAGATATGGACATAGGCAAAGGAGAAAAAACAAATCCAGGCTGGGAAGTATCCTCTGTCCATTGTTTCGATTTTCCTGCTGCCTGTTTCCATCTGGGTCATGTGTATGTGCCTGCACAACAGATTATTGCCTCCACCATCACAGTCTGCTTGATGATCCCTTCAGCTCTTCATTCCTTTCCAAATCTCCTGTCCTGGTAGGGAAATGGCTTATTCAATGCAGAGGGGAATTGATGGCATCCCCACGCTTCCAAAATGCTGTGGCTTGACTTACCACACTTGCCAGATTGTGAAAGCTTTTTGGAAATGCACAAAGTCGTGACTCCCAGACTGCCAGGCTCTTTTCCCACCCAGACAGTCTTTGCTGCTGCTAGCTGGGGAGAGGGGCACACCTAACCTTTCTGTCCACAGCAGCATTCCCTGAACTGGTAGAAAGTAAACTTGGTGGGCAATGCAGGAGAAAACCGGTAACATAGTGCTTCTGCGCTGTGGACTATAAAGTGCTGAATGTCTCCAAAAATTGGCTGGGGTTGGTACCAAGAAAGGTAAAATGCAGCAAAAGCTAAAGAGATTCCCAGTGCTGCCGAAGGACTAGAACAGACAGTGATTGAGGTGTATATGTGGTGGAGATTCTCTACAGCTTTGGGGTCTTTGTTTTTTTTTCAGGCAGAGGTTTTTACTTGTCCCATGAGCCTTCCTGGCCCTGTGCTTTCCAATAGTTTAAGCAATGTAACTTTTTCTGATGAAAACTCACTTGGCAAGGAATAGAAAATAAAAGAAGCTTTTGCTTGCCCCTCAGCTGAAGGTACCTCAGCCTGGTACCTCCCTGTACCTGTGGTTACACCAGCACTGGTTCCAGCAGATATAGGAATAAAAGCTTAAATGCTACATGGTGATCCAAGTGCATTTTCAAAGTCACACAGCAGTGGGTGCAGTAACCTTTGAGTAATGGACAAGGAAATGTGTTGCTAGTCTGGGGAAGAGAGGGAGCACTGAAAAGGTGAATCTGTAAACAGACACCTTAAAGGCTACAGATGTTTTGAAATCCTCCATGTAATCATATGAGCTCTGTCATTCCCCCCACTCCCATCTTGACCTGTTTGCTTCTCTGGGATCAGATTTGTCCTGTAACAGGGAATGTTAGTGAGAAAACACATTCACACCCACATGTTCTCACTCAAGATGAAGATGACTACCTGTGGGCAAAACAGCACCTTTTAAATTAGCGTTCTAATTTCTTCTCCACTTTAGAAATAGCCTCATTAGCTGACAAGAAACACATATATCTGCAAAGAGCTAGGGCTGCTGGAGCTGTGAGCTGCCTGGTCCCTGGAGTGGTGCGTGTTTAATTTATTTGTCTGGCTTTTATAAGAGACAAAGCACAGCTTGCCTTGAAATAAGAGATTGCCAATTAACAGTTTCTAAAAAGCTACAATTTCAAATCGTTCACAAAGAGGCCCAGTACAGGATGCTTTAAAGATATTTAATATTTATAAGATCCCTTAGGATTTAACAAAGATGGCAGAATTTCTTGGCAACAATTGCTGTTCCTGTATGCACATCTATATAAACATGTTGGAATAAATTTTATGTGTTTTAATGTTATGCATTTTATATGTTATTCTATATGTATTTTAGATTTTTTTTTTCTAATGAAACATGAATAGAAGTGAGCAGCAAACACCATTTCTGGTTCTATTTTTGGTTTTTGGTGTGCCTATCCTTGATGATTAATATCTGTATTAAAGCCCAGCCTGTCTGAGAGCTCAATCAGTAATGGGTATATGCTCCACAGGCTCCTTTTTTAAGCTTTGCTTTATAAAGTGTTTAAGAGACCTTGTAGGACCACTGGCCAGAGGATCTCAATAACACAAGGTGCTCTTTGAATATGCCTGCTTCCTGTAATATTCCCTACTTGCCAGCATCTTGTCTGGTTTTTATCTCTGGTTCTTCATTATCAGGAAAAAGCACTTGACTCACAGTGTAGGGCCAGACACCAAGTCCTAGTGGCTTACAGCTTTAGCAGAGGAGGGGTTGATTGGTTCCAGGATGGATGATGGATACCAGAAAGACTAAAGGTAAAAGGCCATAGGAAAGATTCAATAAGTGGTTGAAGTCTGAAGGGGAAGAGTGACTCTAACAGCAAAATATTGAAATGGCTGCAAAAGAATGTTGCTGGCAGTGGGAAGTTACTTGAGTTAAAAGCTGAATTCTGGCTCTAAAGTCTGTCATTTAAAGGTTTCCAGGTACATCCTGTTGCAATTGGAGGCTGTGAATATGCTGGATTGGTCTGGAGAGCCCTCAAAATTAAGCAGATTATAGAAATATCCAAAACACTGGAAAAAACATTTGAATAGCTGTGAGGTGTTGACATATAGCCCACGTATTTAAAACAAACAGACAAAAAAGCCCTAAAAAACCCCAAAAAACCCAACAAACCAAAAAACAACTGAATGCCGGGGAAATTTCTCCAATTCATTTGTGGAGAAAAATTTTAGAGAGTCATGATCCCAGCTGATGACAGTCTGCACGTTTGAATTCCTTGGTAGTTTGCTAGGCAGAATCCCCTGTCCTAGTTTGTGGGATCCTTAGCTCTCTTTTATTGCCTGCTTTGTGTTTGCTCTCCCTAGAACCTGGAAGAATGCCCAACTGGGAGAAGCCATGATTGAGAGCCTGGAAGCTCAAGGACTGCAGCTGGCCAAGGAGAAACAAGAATATTTGGGTAGGCTTTTCTTACTTTGAAAAGCCATAAAGGCCAAACTAGTAATTTTGCTTTTCCTGGAGTTGTCACTGTGGTAAAGCCGAGCAGCTACAGGTTTTCTCTGGATGAAGCTTTTGAGTGGTCAGCAGCTGGAATTCAGATCTGAAGGGATCAAAACATGCAAAGTTAAGGTGGGATCTGGACATTTGTGTGGAGTGTGAAGGAGGAACATGCTTTGCCCAACATGCTGCAGTCTTCCATGGCTCATCTGTACAAATATTTGCCACCCCTGAGAGGTTTGGATGTGCTGGTTTCAGCTGCTCACAGGCAAACAGACAATACCTTTGTCTTCCTCAATCAGACAGGTCTGATACTTCTGAGGTTGGTCACAGCTTTTCATAACGTGATTTTTCTTCACCTAGATGGTGTTTTTTTGGTCTTACTCTACTTGATCTTTGTTCTCACACTGGTCATATTGGCAGTGGGAGCATTTATATGGGCTTTTTTGAGGTATCTAATGGCAGTGGCTAATTTGTCAGTGCTCTCTCTGTAGACAGAGGAGAAAGAACAGATGAACATGAAATAATCTATGTATGTAATCTAATGCCCTATTTAGGAACCAGCCTCTGCATGGCCTGATACCTTGAATGTTCTGACTGCCTTGGGAGGTCCAGTTATCTCTTCCCTGCATTGCCTATAGGAAGAGCCAAGGGAGAGCAGCCCTTTTAACTTGGATGCCCTCTAAGTTACTCCATTCCCCAGGTCTAAGAGACCTTCTGACCTGGTGGTTGCAGGTCACAAGCGTGGGCCCACTGACTTGTCTGGAGAGTTATCTGCTTTAAATAAGATAGCAGAAATTTGAGTGCTTCAGGTTGGTGATGCCTTGAGCAGTGGCTCATGCTGTCTACTCCTAATTGTCAAGCCACTGGAGGAATCTTAAGGTGCTTTTTGCATTTCTTCATCCACATGGATCAGGGCTGATCTCAGCATATGGTCTCACATATAACAGTGATAATTAACAGTGATTAAGTCATGTTTACTCTGTCCATCTGAACACCATTCACCCATGTGAGGTGATGGATGGGCTCGTACGTGAGGCAGGCAGGGAGAAGTGGTTCCACACCTGACAAAGGAATAACAGGGGATGCTGAAAGAAGGACCTGTAGGGACAGACACAGGAGGAAAATTAGAAAGAGGAAGTTTTGTCAAAACATTATTTTGCAACCACCAGAGCAAATGAAAGGGCTTTAAAGACTAAAGAGCTCTTTAGTATGATAAAAGAAAAGGTGGTGGAGAAATAGAGGAATGCACATTCTGTGGCAAGCAGGAGATATTTGGAATATAAAATATATATTTCACTGGATTCTTTGGTCCATGACAAGAACATTCAGAGCTGGTCAATTGTCACAGTTGGTTACTTTCTTTTGACATGAACTGTCTATTTCTATATAAGTGCTAAGGTTTCTGCCTCATTAGCCTTACCTTCAATGATCTGTGTCCATCCTGTAGTCAAGCTTTGAGATCAGGCACTGCTCCTGGAAGCAGGTCAAGGTTCTCTGAAGGAACACTGCTCTGAGAAATTTCTTCAATCCACACTGAGTTATCTTCCACCCAGCTGGGATCCAGGTTGCACTGTCAGATATGGACATTATAGAAGCCCATCAGGTCCAGGGCTTGGGCCCCCCAGGAGGGGCAGAAGAGGGAAGGTAGGAGAGCCTCTGTAATTACAGTGCATCTGTGCTGGGTTCTGGCCAGGAGGAAGAGGGAGAGAGTAGGAAAGAAAGGCAGCAGTGGTGCTCAGCAGAGCTTTGGTAATGTAACACTTTCTGGCACCAAAAGCCCTGCCAGGTAACACTCTGGCACCAAGAGCCCTGCTCTGGGCAGGAGATAGAGGTCTGCATTCCTCCTAGAAGTAGTAATCCTGCCAGCAGCAGTAACCTTGTCAGGTCCTCAATATCAGGGAAATCAGTAGCACCTCACTCACCTGACAAGAGGAAGGTAGAAGTGCTCCAGCCAGTCTTCCCCAGCTCCCATGGCAGCAGAGCTGTGAGCTAAACCCGAGAAGCGTTTCTGTCTGGGTTCCTGTAAGCGTGGCTGAGAGCTGTCTGAGGCAGAGCTTCTGAGCTTGCAGCTGGCACAGCAGAGGAGCATCAGTCTGCAGGGTGAGGACCAGAGCACAGCCTCTGCTGGGCATGTGTGTCTTCAGGGGACAAGGGCAACTGATGTTGAGGGGAACTGCTCTGTACAGCAGAAGTTTGGTGGCTAAGTTAGGGATTGTTTTCTGGGCTTGGCTGGGACATCCCAAGGTGACAATAGGGAATTGGCAGTGCTTCCCAGAGGGCGAATGAGAGGATGATGGGCTAGCAGGTGAGGATGGGGCACTGAGCTGAAGGAAAACTGACACACATGTTGTGTGACCCTCTGCACTCATGTGACCTTTCTGTGCCTTGTTCCTTATCTGTGAAGCAGAGATAAGAATATTTTCCTGACTCAGAGGATGGTGAAGGATGGTTCATTAATGTTCTTTAAGAATACTGAGAAACCTTAGAAAGATTACAAAGCAATATGCTTGTTTAGTTTATTAAGTTATTTGGCAGGAGGAAAGTTAGAGAACATCCCATTAGTGCCATCTCAGCCTTTGGAGCCTCCCAGACAGATACACACAAAGGAATAGGGAATACTGCATTTTCAAGCTTCACAAAGCCAGTGTTTCTTGTTTGTAAATATCCCAATGCTTTTCTCTGTGCTTGGAATTTTTTTTTTGTGTGCTTGCAGATAAACTAATGGAAGAAACAGAAGAGCTATGTCTGCAGAGGGAACAAAAAGAGGTGAGTTCATCACAAGCCAATATCCTTCAACTGCCATGTGGCAGGGCTGGGAGGTCGGGACTTGTTTGTTCAAAGGCAAGTCAGTGTTCAGGGAGAGAGGCTTGTGGAGGCACAGGAGTCTCCAGCTAACCTCTGGGTCCTGTGGATGAAGAGAGGAATAATAAGATGAGATGGGTCATGGAGGTATATTCCTGCTCCCTTTCCCTGTTACTTTCCATGCAGCAGGTTTGTCATTATGACTCCAGAAGGACCAGGAAGGAAGATCAAATGAAAATCATACTCACTGGATTGAATTATACAATTGTTATTTGGCAGATTCAAGAAGATTATGGCGATTAAGACCCATCTCTACAGTTAGACAGCAAGTCAACAAGCATTGTTCTAGCATAGGGATACTGTTGTGAAAAACAAGGAGAACAAAAAACAATGTGGTTTGTTCTTTGGACACAATAGAGATGGGGAGAATAAAAAATGTTGCACTAGGGAAAAATTAAGAGAGCACTTCCTTAGATGTGACTATTATACCTTAATTTACCTTGGAATAGAATGGTTTGGGTTGGAAAGGACCTTAAAGATCATCTCATTCCAACACCCCTGCCATGGGCAGGGAAGGGACATCCATTAGGCCAGGTTGCTTTATTAAGTTTATAATAGCTTTTCAAACTATTCCTAGCTTATAATTGCTTAATATAATAAAAGTAGTACATCTTTATATTTACTGATGCAAATCTATACTGATTTTTATAGCACCACCATAAAGTCATGGCAGGATAGCTGTGCAAATGGGTTGTCCTATTATGCAGTTGGGAAGCCTGCATGGATATGGGCCACCATATTAACAATGTTGCAAAGTGCTTCATGCTCTTTTCCAGTTTATCCAAAATTACTGTTGCCTCTCCTTAGGAAAAGATGGCAATGCTGACCTTGGCTTCTCAGGCTTATCTTTTTCTTGCATACATTTCTGGAAAGCTAAAATCCAAAAGTGGCTTGGACACTTGCTTAGGGCTAAGCTCCTTTTGCCTTTGCAGAGGGACATCTCCCTCTGGTGAGGTAGCCTGAGGGGGAAATGACCTTGTCTGAAGATCTTGGAACAAATCTCTGCTCTTCCAAGGCCATGCACAGTAATTCCATTGCCTACAAAGAGCAGATGGGGCAGAAATGCAAACTCCTTAATTTGAAGGAGTTTGGTGCTGTGAAGGACTGAATGTAGAGCTCACTGAACTGTGGTTTGATCCTCTGGGAGCCTGAAGGCTTCAGAGCAGTACGTTGGGAAAGCAGCTTGAACTGTGTACCTGCACCATGAAGCAAGAGTCTTAATTAGGAATTTATCCAGTGCCAGCACTGTTTTGTGACTGGCATGAGCCTGTAGCAGGAGTTCTGCACAGCAACTATGGCTGCAAGGGGACCTGGCCAGGAGAGGGACCCTTGCTGAATTTTGATTTTATCAGCACAAAGATAGTGACAGGCTGATTAAACTGTGCAAAGCTGTATCTGAATGGTTTGTGTTTTCCTGCACCAGTGGGGGTGAGAAGAAAGGCTGAGCTGGTAGAAGTATCACACTTCAGGCACAGAGATTCTGGGGCTGCTGCTTTCTGAGGCTGTCTGGCTTTTCTGTATCTGTGTGGGTGCGGGTCTGAAAATGCCCAGGATTCCCAGGGAGTTTTGGACCTTCTGTATATATGTGCCTGAGCTGACCTCTGCAAGGGAGCATGTCTGAGGTTTCCAGGTGCTTGGTAACCTGGCTGGGACTTCTGGATATCTGAAAATCCTCAGACAACCTCAAATCCTTCTAATTGCCCCAAACAAAAGTGTGGTGGAGTCAGACAGCCTTGTAGCCCTACGCAGCTTGGGTTACATGCCATGTTACAAGTCTCAGGAGTTGTTAACAGGGAAGCCTCTCCTAACTGTGTCGGCAGGGTGCATTCCTGTCTTCTCTTTTGGAGCAGGAACTGGAGCGTCTGAACCAGATCCTGGAAGCAGAGAAGCAGCGTTTTGAAGAGGTGGTGCGGGAGCTGCGGCTGGAGCAGGAGGAGATCAGACGGTACGGCAGCAGGGCAGGGAAAGGATACAACTCCCACACCGGGCAAAAGTACCATCAAACAGTGTAAAATGCACCTGGTTTGTGCATGTAGGAAGGAGATGCTGCATTGACCAAAACGGGAATGGCTGTGGGCTCTTTACCTGCATTTGCTATTGCTTGTGGCCAATAGAATACAGCTCAGCTTCATTTTGCACTCAGGCCTCCAGCAATTTAATTTCAAAGTGCTGGGACACAAACAACCCCCAGATTAGTTGGGGTAGCATGGTAATGGACAGGTGCAAGAGAAGATTTCAGAGAGCAAATTAATTCAGCTGACTGAGCAGATCCAGACACCTGGATCTGGTTTTCCACTATCAGCTGAATGACAACGGATGTATGATGATGTTGCCTCACCAAGATTAGTTTTGTCATTTTTAAAGTTAATTATGCAAAATATTTGGAGCAAATGTACTTCGAAATAGAAGGATCAAAGTGCTTTGCCTCACGCGTTGAAAGGGCATTTTTTGCTATCGTTCTTTTTTCTTCTTTTTTTCTCCCTAAGTAACATCTCAGAAAAGCCAGTGTGATTTTGCAAACCATTTTTGTTTTCAAAGGCTCTGCTTAGATGTGACTGCCCTGTCTGAGCTCTTTCAGTTGCAACCATGGCTCTGCCCTTGCTGGATAAGTGCAGTAACTGTTGGGTTGGGTTTGATGATTAGGAGGCACAGTGAGGCTCCTGGACACCTGCAGGTTGTGATGCTTCCTGGCAAACTCCTGTCTCACCAGGACTGGCTGTACCTACTGATGGTTGCAGGTCCTGCACCAGGAGACCCTCAGCCTGCACAGCCTGGGTGCAGTCTGTGGGGCAATCGTTCCCCTGCAGTAGCTGTCACCTTTTTTGCTTCTTTAGGGAGCTGGAGCTCACAGCCCGCTCCCTTAAAGGAGTGGAGGAAGAGAAGAAAGAGTTGCGAAGCCTGACAGAGTCCTTACAGAACACCCTAGAGGTGAGTGACTGCTCCTCCCCTCTGAGTGACAGCATTTTGGCCTGAAAGCAGTGCTGTCACATGGAATGAATCCAACATCTGCCAGTGCCAGAGCTGAGGTGCTGTACAGATGAACAGGGTCATTTGGTAGCTGATATGAACACCAAAATCCCCTTCAGAAAAGGATGAGAAATGACACAGAGCACAAGTGAACCAAGATTTTCTCAGCAGTACCAGGTAATACGGTGGTAGGACAATAACCATGATAAGCTGTAGTTTAGGAAGCTTAGGTGGAACAGTAGGGAGAGAATTGTCACCCGATAGGCAGGCAGGCAGTCAAAGAAGCTGAGGAACCTTCATTGTGGACTGTTTTCAGACTGTAAACAGCCACAGTTGATCATATCCTGCTGTGCTGACAGACTGGCTCTGAACAGCAAGCTGGGCAGGAGCCTACTGGAAGGTCCCTTCCAGCCAACATAACTGTAAGTCTGTGATGAGCTTTTTTTTTTTTTAACTGCACCTCCCTACCTTCTGGTGGAATTTGAAGCAGCAGAAGGGCATTCTTTGTTCACAGAAGGGAGCATAATTCCCTAGGAAATCATGTACCACATGGGAATCTAGGAAACAGAGTCTTGATGTATTAAAATTTTTCTTTACTGCTGGATTTGTGGAAAGTGTCTTTTCTAAATGTATATTTTTTTGTGAAATTTCCACACACTTGGCATTCTGAAGCTGCAAGGTCATCTTTAATGTTTGTGTCAAATTCTGCAAGTTTGTCCCAAAATCTGTTTCTTTGAGTTCGTCTCCTTGCCCTCAGTTATGAAAAAAATAACTGGAAAGCTATGGAAGTACCATTCCTGCCTTAATTGCACATTGAATACTTCAGAGGCAAACAGAGTGATGTGTCCCATTGCCTACAGTTAGAAGTACCACAGAGTGGGTGCCTCCAGCTCCCACTAAGGAACAAGTGGAGCAGGGAAGGCAGGGAACCTGCATCTGTGATGCACCAGGGAAGCATAAGGTTCCAGTCTCGGAGTTGTGCCCTTGCTAACATATCACATCAAAAGAGCCTGCTGGTTCACCCCTTTGTAGTGAAGGCTGTGTTGGAGGCTTGCTCCCTGTGAAGCAGGTATGAAACGAAATCCAAATTTTGTTGTTCCTGTGTTTACCTGAATGAGGCATGTGGATGTAAGGATAGAGGCACTCAGGAAGGAAGAACCAGGCAGGAACAGGAGCAGAAACGCTAGACTTGGCTGATACTCACAATCTCTTGTCCTTCTTCAAGGAGCTCTCCCTGGAAAAACAACAAATGCTGGAGATGCTGGAAGAAAATGAGAGCCAAGTCCCACCTCCAACCAGCCCCAGCAAGGAGCAAAGCCCCATCTGGGGACTGCACTGCAGCCTGCGACAGATTGAAGAGAAGATGCAGCAACTTCTGCAGGAGAAACTCCTGGCAGAGAAAAGGTGAAAGGGGGAAAGAGGACACTTCTGCTCAGGCTTAGTGATGCCAAATGATGTGACTGTCTGCTGACTTGCTTTTTGGTTGCCAGCATCAGACAAGTCTGGAAGCTTGTCTGGTTCCAATGGCAGGAGTTCAGGTTGCCAATCCTTCAAAGGAGACAGAGTGAGGCAGGGCAGGTCCCAGTTGGGCCTGCTCCTTTCACACCAGGACTTGGACATGGGAAGGTGTTCATGGCCTGCCCATATGGAGCATTTGCTGCTCCTGGGCCTCATCTGGGAGTTGAGAATGTTCCATTCAAGAACTGTTCAGCTGGCTTTCTCCAGCAATGCCTGTGTTGTTGCAATGGAGCTCACAGTGCTCCTGTTAGCGTCTCTGCTCTGGGCAGTCAGGTAGTTGAGCATGCCCCATCGTGACACTGAGCTCCTTTCCTTCCTGTGAGTTGTGTTGGGGTGGGAATGGTCATCTTTGTTTGCTGTGCCATGCACCAGGATGAAGGAGAATGAGGAGCGGTCTCGAGCACTGGAGGAGGAGCGGGAGTTTTACTCTTCCCAGTCGCAAGCGCTGCAGAACTCGCTCTCGGAGCTGACTGCAGAGAAACAGCAGGCAGAGAGAGACCTCAAGGTATCCCCTGCATACGTCACACACTGCTGTCCCTGGGCTCAGAGTGCTTCCATTTGCTCTTTCAATTCATTCCCTATCAAGCCAAACTTTTGGTTTTATTTAGTTTTCACATTTTGGTCATAAAACTTCATAAGCTATGCTTCATATTGCCAACTGTATCCTGGTCTGCATCCAAAGCAGAGTAGCAGGCAGGGCAAGGGAGGTGATTCTGTCCCTCTGTTCCACTCTGGTGAGACCCCACCTGCAGTGCTGCATCAAGCTTTGGAAGGATGTCGACCTGTTGGAGTGAACCCAGAGAAGGACCACCAAGGTGCTTGGAGGGCTGGAGCACTTCTCCTGTGAAGACAGGCTGGGAGAGTTTGGCCTAGGGAAGAGAAGGCTCTGATAAGGAAACTTTTATACGAATTTTTACAAGGATGTGTAGTAATAGGACAGGTGAAATTGGCTTCAATCAGAAAGAGGAGAGGTTTAGATTAGAAAGAAATTCTTTACTGTGAGGGTGGTAAGGCATTGAAACAAATTGCTTAGAGAAGTTGTGGATAGTCCATCCTGGAAGTGTTCAGGACTGGGTTAGATGGTGCTCTGAGAAACCTGGTCTAGTGAAAATTATCCCTCCCTGCGGGTGAGGGGTTGGAATGAGATGATCTTTAAGGTCTCCTCCTACCCAAAGCACTATGATAGCATGGTAACACATGAAATTGCTATCTTTTACCTATGTAGGACTACTGTTTATTTTCACATCCTGAAGCCTAATTAATTAATTCAGTGCAAGTCTTTTAATTTGCTACTGTGAAAGCATCATCTATGGATGGAGGGAAGGAAAAATAATAAAAGGGGAAAGTAGACACAATCAAGAATAAAGATGATTTGGAAGAAATGCTAATATAGATGTTGCAGAACTGAGGAGAGATCTTCCCTCCTCACTTGTGGTCAGAAAACCAACCTTAAGAATTTTAAATCTTCAGTAACCTCTGCAAGAACTTGGGTTCAAAAGTAGAGGAGTTCAGCTGAGGGACCAGCCCTTCTTCGTAACAGACAATACATGAATCTATGCAAAGGTAACTGGATAAAGTATGGCATTTTATTTAAACCTAAATAATGTAAAGGTTATGTAAAATAATTGGCTGTTTGGCGCTCAAACTCCTTTTACAAATATTTTGTAAAAAAAAAACCCCTGAGTTATTTTTTCCTGCACCTCCAATATTTTCTTATCTTGTAACTTTCTACTTGGCCAGACTAAAGCTAAGTTGACCTAAGCTGTGTAGTCTTTCTCCTTTGCAAAACGAGTACAGTATTTCTAAATTCTCTTGTGTTTTGTTTATGAAACTAAGCACTGTACATCCCTTTGTGGGAATTGACTGCCTTTATCTCAAGTCTGTCAAAGCTGGATTGATGTCCTTCTGTTCCTGCTGAGCTGCAAGTACTTGAATTAGCACAAATTCATTTATTGAAATAGCATCTCTGATTCCATATGGTTTATGCAATGGGAGGAAAACTGTGAAAAATGAAGTCAGAGTAAATGAAAATTACTACAATAATCTGGACTTCAGATTCTGTCTGAAGACATGAGAAACATCTTTATATTGCCTTTCTAAGGATTTCCATCCCTGTTGTCTTTTCATTTTCATCCATGCCAAGTCCCTCACAGACCTTGTGAGTTACCAGGATGTTTACTGAGAAACAAGCTGTTTTCTAGCTATTCTTATTTTCTTCCTCAGGCTGAAGTGAAGGTACGCATGGATCTGGAGAAGAGACTGAGAGAGGCTGAAGAAGCATTGCAGAGCTTGGAGCAAGGCTTAAATTCTCTGAATTTCAACAAGGAGAAAGAGAAGAAGATGAAAGCAGATGTCAGTAACTTGAGAAGTAAGTTAGTCATCTATGCTCTCTACTGATGAGCAAACTATTTCTACCTATCTTACCAGACATACAAAGAAAATATTTCTACCTATCTTACCAGACATACAAGGAAAATTCCAAATTAGCAAAGCTGCACATATATGTGGTCTCCCAACTTCTTGTACCTCCATCACACATCTCCTCTGAGGAGCCATAAGGTGCTATGCAAGTAGTTGCTGTTTTGCCCTCAAAGGAGGTTGAAATTATTCCAGCCTCTCAAGGGAGCATGACATTATTCCAGACTTCTCTCTTGGGTGGAAGACAAACCTAGAGATGAGCAAATACTTTCCAAAATGTCAAACAGGGAAGCTGTGGCAGAGTTATAAAAACTGACTACTGACTAGGTTTGGGTTATAAGGAGTCCTCTGATTCCCCTCAAGGCTTTATTTCTCAGCCTTAGTTAAAAGAATATCGCCAGTTTAAGGAGGCCTGTGGTTGCTGTAGCGACGTGCTGGTAGGTGACCCAGAAGGTGAAGTTTGGATCTTTACTCAGAGCTGAATCACAGCATCTGCTCAGCACTGCAGTGCATGGGTCAGGTGTAAGAATGATGCTTCTCACAAGTTATCCCTGTTTCTTTGCCTTTTTTTAGGTTTGTTTGCATTGGGTCTTTTTGGGTTCTCTTGAGAGGTATTACCCTGGCATTTGGCTTGAGTCAAGCTTGGAAACAGACATAAGCAGTCAAATTGAGTCAAATCTTACTTGTTTTTCATGCTCAAGTTACAGTGCAGGGAGAAGTGCTTATGAAGGTGCTGTGTCTGTACAGTTAAGGATTCATTTCAGTGAAGGATGGATGTACTGGGCCAATACAGAAAAGTCAAAAAGTCCTGTGGTATTCTGAGTATTGTTAGGTAAATAGGGGGAAATAAATGTATAAATAGTTTTATATCTATTCACATACTTATAATTTACATATATATATAAATAAAACAAGTTATTTGGTAGTTTCTAAGTAAGATTTCTAAATGGAGAAAAACAGTCATGATTCTGAACTTCATCTCACTGGCTCAGAGCCATGGTAAGAAAACAGAGCAAAAGTGGATGTGTTGAGTTCAGCATTTAAGTAGAGCTTCACAGGGTATAAATGAGTAACTGGTACTGAATGTCTCCTGATATTTCCAACCTTAGATTTTGGGGGATGTTTTTTTCAAAAGAGTAAAAATGTACTGATTGAGCAGGGCACTAAAGAAGATAAGGGACCAGCAATGTTTCCCATAACATTAGTCCTAGTACAAATTGCCTCAGTCCTTCCAAGTGGTTCCTGCAGCTCTGCCCTGCCCTTTATAGAAGAGTTTGGGCACATTAGCACATGATGCCTTTGAACAGCAAGGGACAGCAACAGGCAGGAAGACAGCAAGACTGGAATGGCAGAATCGACACTGGTCAGACCATAATGAAGGGAAATAGGGCAGGAAAAGCAGTTTTTGTGGCAGATCAGGGCAGAATAATGTCAGAGTTTGGACACGGGGCTTTTCTTGGAGCCGATAATATATGTAACTATGTGCTAGTATTTGCTATGCTATTAATAAATCCCTTACCATGTGTGACTGTGCTGGTGTTGCCAACACCTTATTTTTCTAGTTAGACCTGACTGGTGTTAGAAGTCCTTCAAAGAAAGTATGATGAGCAAGGCATCAGAGTTGAGAAGTTTTATCACAGTATCAAAGTCTTTTGGCTGTTGAGTCATAGGCAGTTGTGAGAATTACTGATGTGGAATGGATGGCTGCAGTTCTTTCTAAATTTGAGTATGCATTTATTAGGAACTGGAGGTCTTTGTCACTTTGAAAACATTTTTTCTGATGATATTGCAGAGCTTTATGGATTGTTGTTCATGAAGATGATCATTACCTGGCTCAGCCCACCAATGAGTGCAGTCCCTTGTGACTGGTTCATTGCTTGGAGTGTGTGTCCCATCACTATAACAGTGGTGTTCTCTTCCCAGAGTTCTTTGAAGAGTGCATCCGCAATGCTGAGCTGGAGGCCAAGATGCCTGTGATCATGAAGAACTCCGTGTACATCCACAAGGCTGCCACCCGCCGCATAAAGAGCTGCCGCTTCCGCTGCCGGAGAACCAGCACTTCCTGGAATGACAGTAGGTATCAGGCAGCCTTCTGCTTTATATCTTGCAGGAGAAGATATGTGCCCATGGGACTGGCAGAGCAGTAAAGTCTCTGCAAATGTTTGTATTTCATGTTCCTTAGCAGTAGAATGCAGCCACAATGCTACTTGGAGCTTCCTTTCCCAGAGAGCAGGCAATGATCCTGTATACTTGTTGCCCATTTCTTTATACATGTTGAAAGGTAAACTTCTGTGATGGTCCTGTGATGGCCCCTAAAAAAACATACTAAAATATTACTTCATCAGAATGCCTAATCACAGGCTGAGTTAGGCTCAGTCATGTTGGTCACGTGGCTTGTGAACTCTAGTGAAGCTTTATCTTTAATTTGTGTTCCTGATGCAGAGTGCTTACCTTTCTGTGCTGTTCTTGTTCCAGTGAAACAGTCACAGTCCTTCATCTTCTCACATGCAGAAGCTGAAAACATTGAAGAGCTGAAAGAAGCAGCCAAAAGACTGAGCCGGGACCAGCGCTTTAGGAAAACTATCTATCAAATAATGAGGTCACAAAAGGATTCTGCTTCAGGGGACAAAAAGTGACTCTTCTTGGGAGGGGGCTTCTGAGCTCAACCTGCCATTCAGCTCTGCAAAAGTTACAGCCTTGGGCACTAGGCTCAGAAGGGAGATTGGCATTTGGGTGGGGAAGGTGGGGGAGAGGTGTGTGTAGGCAATCTCTTCAGTTATTGGCTTTGCTTTAGTTTGAGTGCTCCCTGCAGCCTGGCAGACATTGTCTGCTGATCACTCCAGACCTGTTTGCTTCAGCTGCTTGCATTAAGCCATGTTTTGCCAAGATGCCACAGTCAGTGTTAAAGTGAACCAGAGACCGTTGCTTAGGAAGTGCCTCTCTTTCTTTCCCTGTCTAGTCTGTCTGCCAAACACAAGTGCTTCTGAGGAAACCTTTAGCAGCCTATGTTCCAGCTTGTGTAATCTCCTCAGCTGAGCACAGCTCACCCTGTTCTGCCTGATTCCCCCTAGGAGTTAGCTCACTGCACACCCTCAGTCAATCAGCACTTCGGTGGGGCACTTTTCCTGAAGACTGCAGCAGTCCCAGCCTCCCAAGCATAGCCAAAAGTATCAAACACAGGGCCAAACTTTTTGTCTTGATGCTACATCATTTCAAGCAAACAGCAACAACACAAGGCGAAGACAGCTGGAGGATGCTGTGGATTTGGGTCCAAGGAGGATCATGTACAGAGAAGAGCTTATAGGTAATTCAAATGTCATCAATGCAAGCTGGAGGGAGAGTTCTGTTGTGTTGATGGTGGACAGAACATTCTGGGGCCACCTTTGCACATTTTTTGCACTGGGACATCTAGCTGTCAGAACTAGGGAAGATGTTAGCTATTGGCCATCTGTTCCTCAGTGTGAAGAAGCCTTTGACTCATTTTTGATGGCTTCCTCAACACCTCTGTAAAACAAGTTGGAGGGCAGGAGGGTGAGGACTGTCCATCAACAAAACCCACTGCCACTTCAGGTAAGCTGTAAGGGTTGTGGGAGAGGAGTACAGGAGAGGAGTCACTTTGTTGTGGAACCCCTGAACGCCTTGCAGCCTTCCCCATCTATTTTAGCAGTTGGTTAATAATTACCCATGCTGTAGAAGCAGCACTGCCTGGTGCTTACAGAGCACAGGATAAGCACGCTTGGAGTGTTGCCCTGTTTTCTCCTGCATATTAATAGGGAAATAAATAAATTGACAATATAAAGGTGAATAAAGTAAGCAGCAGAAGTACAGTTAGGGGTTAGGGTAAAGTGCAGATTTACTGTACCTTTCATGGCATCAGGACCCCTGGGTATTATGTATGTCCAGTGACACACAGGTATTTGCTTGTCATTGTCCCAGTCAGACTGTGACAGGGTCCACTCACACCCTTTGGCATCTGGCCACCTACATAATTCCCTACCAATTTAGTGTTCTTCCTAGGGATAAGTCAAGGATGAGGCTAGAAAGCAAGCCTTGGCTTACCAGCCAGCGGAGA